GGTTTGTTCACACATATTTCATTATTAGTTTTAAATGTTCATATCACTTATTGCTGGGCTAGAAATTAGCATCGTTTGTCAAATAGGACTCTGTCAAATTTGTCTCTCTGAATAGCCGCCTTTTCTTACCGTTTTTCAGTTTCAGGAACAGTTTGCCATCCACACTCCACGAATGCTCTACACAGTCTAGTTTGTATGCTTGATAAATTGTTAATAATCAAATGCTTTTAAAGATTGACGATAATTTATTTCGGTCAATGTATGTACAATATGTAATCATACGAGTGGCTTCACTAATACCTGACAAGTCTCGTGCATTACAGAGATAGAAAGTTCTTTATATTTTTCAGCAGGGTCACGATAGGGATCAAACATCATTGTTCATAACAAAATAAACCGTGATAATAATCACAAAGATTCAGATTGGTTTATTGGTTTAACGTCCTATCAACAGATGACTGTAACGATGGATGCCACATAACATCGTATAGATCTACTGCATGTTTAATTCAAGACAAGACAGCAGAACTGGACTGGTGTAAGGTTGAACCTTTTTATAACCTAACAGTTTGTTATATTCTATTCACTTTGACTTGTCAAACGTTGTTCAGATCATGTTGTTTCTATAATGTATATTTGTTACTTAATAATATCGGTTGTTTTTGTAAAACTTGTCACTCATAATATCGTCGATATCACTATCGTTATACCAGAGACGTGTATGTCTCGGGAACTTATGCTGCTGGAAAATCGGAATTCGTATTGAATGTTTTGTTATTCTGCCATTTATATTGTACATACGTATTGTACGTTCAATATTCTCTTTGTCTGTCATCCTCGATACTCCAGTGGTTACACTCGTAACCCCTAGAGCATCGAGGAAGTGTGACCGTATTCTTATCGTCAAACTTGTCAGTCAGTTGCTATCCCTTGCTATTGTGTGTTTTAATATTATTTCTATCTTGACAATTTTTAAATGATTTTTGTATGGTTAATTATTTGGTAAAGTAATATATTTTTTCGTGTTTTCGAATTTTTTAAAAATATGTCCAAGTGGATTATCGTCTAGTCACCAGTTTCCGCGCGTTATGTATTTCCGGGCAGACATTTTATCAAGCTATATCTCGTAACTACGTGACCTGCTGGACACAACACAAGGATATTTTAGACGTTTGGCCATCGTCTGGAAACTGACAAAAAATACCGGAAGTTCGTCCGGAAAACAAGAATTAATCACTGATTAAAAAACACGCATAAATATGCAGTTTTGCTTAATGCACTTTTTATCTTGCTCAAAATGAACACATACCTGAAAAAACGGTGATATATTTCATTCATGAACCAGTCTTTTTTGTAGTCGGATAGACATACGAAAATGTCGTATGCAAATGAGGCCACATCTCCTCGCCGATTTTTTCCCACTTCCGAAGAGCCAAGGAGACATTCTTATATCGATCAAGTGTTTTCAATGAAACGTAAACCTTGTAATGCAATGAACTTCCAATTTTCACCAATTTTAAACAGAACAAAATGAGAAATAACTTACCATCATCCAAAACCGATATAAGAATGCAGAAAAAAATAATAACAGATTCTATATTATAACTAAATAAATATAATAAATAAATTCATGAAATTACATGAATTCGTTCAATTTGACATCTTGATCAATTAATTAAAAATGTGAAATTCAAAAAAAAATGTTTTGATAATTAATTTTGACGTTCAAAGATTTTTTTTTAATTCTAAACGAAGCTTTTGTTCTTTCAGGTCACTGTAGAGAATTTCTTTTTAGTGTATTCGAGTTATCTTTCTTTGAACACTAAATCAAAGTAGACACACGGTAACATATGACGGCTACTTCCGACGGGAGAAACTTGCTAAAAATTGTTTTTGATTTTTTTAACATAAAGATTTATGTTGCTAGTTTTTATGTTTCCTTTAGTAGATTGTATACATGTTTATGACAGTCTTCCGTAATTTCAACAGTTTTCTGCCGATATGAGTACGAAATCGCGGATGCTTCTAAAGTGCGCGGAAACCGGTAACCCGAGGATACTTTTATTAATCCTAATATTTGATTGGACTTGTTATCGGAGTTTGTTTAGCTTTCCACCAGTTCCTGTTGTTTTTCCATTAATCTTGTCGTTGCATTAATTTTGATGTCTCCCTAGGTCCTGTGGTTTTTTGTTTTGATGTCTCCTCAGTTCCAGTTGTTTTTTGTTTTGATGTCTCTTCAGTTCCAGTTGTTTTTTGTTTTGATGTCTTGTCAGTTCCAGTTGTTTTTTGTTTTGATGTCTCGTCAGTTCCAGTTGTATTTTGTTTTGATGTCTCGTCAGTTCCAGTTGTATTTTGTTTTGATGTCTCTTCAGTTCCAGTTGTATTTTGTTTTGATGTCTCGTCAGTTCCAGTTGTATTTTGTTTTGATGTCTTGTCAGTTCCAGTTGTTTTTTGTTTTGATGTCTCGTCAGTTCCAGTTGTATTTTGTTTTGATGTCTTGTCAGTTCCAGTTGTATTTTGTTTTGATGTCTTGTCAGTTCCAGTTGTATTTTGTTTTGATGTCTTGTCAGTTCCAGTTGTATTTTGTTTTGATGTCTTGTCAGTTCCAGTTGTATTTTGTTTTGATGTCTTGTCAGTTCCAGTTGTATTTTGTTTTGATGTCTCGTCAGTTCCAGTTGTATTTTGTTTTGATGTCTTGTCAGTTCCAGTTGTATTTTGTTTTGATGTCTCGTCAGTTCCAGTTGTATTTTGTTTTGATGTCTTGTCAGTTCCAGTTGTATTTTGTTTTGATGTCTTGTCAGTTCCAGTTGTATTTTGTTTTGATGTCTTGTCAGTTCCAGTTGTATTTTGTTTTGATGTCTTGTCAGTTCCAGTTGTATTTTGTTTTGATGTCTTGTCAGTTCCAGTTGTATTTTGTTTTGATGTCTTGTCAGTTCCAGTTGTATTTTGTTTTGATGTCTTGTCAGTTCCAGTTGTATTTTGTTTTGATGTCTTGTCAGTTCCAGTTGTATTTTGTTTTGATGTCTTGTCAGTTCCAGTTGTATTTTGTTTTGATGTCTTGTCAGTTCCAGTTGTATTTTGTTTTGATGTCTTGTCAGTTCCAGTTGTATTTTGTTTTGATGTCTTGTCAGTTCCAGTTGTATTTTGTTTTGATGTCTTGTCAGTTCCAGTTGTATTTTGTTTTGATGTCTTGTCAGTTCCAGTTGTATTTTGTTTTGATGTCTTGTCAGTTCCAGTTGTATTTTGTTTTGATGTCTTGTCAGTTCCAGTTGTATTTTGTTTTGATGTCTTGTCAGTTCCAGTTGTATTTTGTTTTGATGTCTTGTCAGTTCCAGTTGTATTTTGTTTTGATGTCTTGTCAGTTCCAGTTGTATTTTGTTTTGATGTCTTGTCAGTTCCAGTTGTATTTTGTTTTGATGTCTTGTCAGTTCCAGTTGTATTTTGTTTTGATGTCTTGTCAGTTCCAGTTGTATTTTGTTTTGATGTCTTGTCAGTTCCAGTTGTATTTTGTTTTGATGTCTTGTCAGTTCCAGTTGTATTTTGTTTTGATGTCTTGTCAGTTCCAGTTGTATTTTGTTTTGATGTCTTGTCAGTTCCAGTTGTATTTTGTTTTGATGTCTTGTCAGTTCCAGTTGTATTTTGTTTTGATGTCTTGTCAGTTCCAGTTGTATTTTGTTTTGATGTCTTGTCAGTTCCAGTTGTATTTTGTTTTGATGTCTTGTCAGTTCCAGTTGTATTTTGTTTTGATGTCTTGTCAGTTCCAGTTGTATTTTGTTTTGATGTCTTGTCAGTTCCAGTTGTATTTTGTTTTGATGTCTCTTCAGTTCCAGTTGTATTTTGTTTTGATGTCTTGTCAGTTCCTTTTGTTTTTTGTTTTGATGTCTCCTCAGTTCCAGTTGTTTTTTGTTTTGATGTCTCTTCAGTTCCAGTTGTTTTTTGTTTTGATGTCTTGTCAGTTCCAGTTGTTTTTTGTTTTGATGTCTTGTCAGTTCCAGTTGTATTTTGTTTTGATGTCTTGTCAGTTTCAGTTGTATTTTGTTTTGATGTCTCCTCAGTTCCAGTTGTATTTTGTTTTGATGTCTCTTCAGTTCCAGTTGTATTTTGTTTTGATGTCTGGTCAGTTCCAGTTGTATTTTGTTTTGATGTCTCCTCAGTTCCAGTTGTATTTTGTTTTGATGTCTTATCAGTTCCAGTTGTATTTTGTTTTGATGTCTCCAGAGTTCCTTTTGGTTTTTTTGTGTTGATGCCTCATCAGGTACTTTTGTTGTTTTTAATTTTGACTTCAAACCTTTTTCTTTGAACTCTCATTATTGATACAGAACAGTCATTATTTCTTACACTGATATTTTTAAAGCAACGTTCCGTTACATTTTTTTTTTTAATAAACAAAAAACACAATAGTACAAATGATGTGTTTATTTGTCTATAAAATTAAATTAACTTAAAGTACATGTATACTATCAAAAATGTTCTCTCCAACAATAATTGTGTGCCGAATAGTCGTCAAGTTTGGAAAAAAAAATTGGTGTATACATGTTACTGTTAGACAGGAGTCTTACGCTTGTGCCACTATACTAGAAAGTATTAAAATTACTAGACAGGCAACACTAGATCCTTATAAAAAAAATCTGATTACAAAGTAAAATATTCTATTCTAACGAATACACGGGAATAAAATACAATTAATTTCAACAGACTCTCGATACTATTTTAACATTAATTAATATAGCATACTACACCCCCAGTGATATTTATCATTTGTGCTGGAATTCTCTTTCTTAAGGATCCCCGTACCACTGCCAAAGTGTTGGGATACTGTTTTTTTAATGGTATGGTTAAAGATTTAATAAATCATTTCTTTAAAGAAAACCATACCTTACAGGACTTTTATGAGAAATGATAAAGATGAAATAAACAGAATACAATTTATGTATAATAAACAATAGTGTTTTGAGTGTAAAAATTCAGTGGAGCTAGACCGGGATTCAAACCCAGGACTTCAGTGCAGTGTGACAGGGATCCTTAACATTTAATTATAAGCTCATTATTTAGAATTACCCCAGGGGTTACGAATGTAAATGTGTTTTCTGCTTAATTATTTGTCATTAATAGAAGATATTTCCTGGGTGGAAATCTTTCAGAGAGGCGACCCAAGTATGATAATATAGATCTTCATACATAAACTGAGATGGCTTTTCATTGTTTTTTGAGCATAGTTTTAGTCACTGAAGCAGTGTCTATACATTTTGTTCCAATTTTTTCTTTGAAGAACAATTAAAACAAAATGCTGGGGTGTAAAAATCCTCTATGCACAGGGCAACTGATTTCAGGTCTGGCAAGCACAAAAAAATAAACACACTTGCCCAAGGAAAGTACACTATTTTGTTCATTTACATTACAAATGCATTAGGTCTTATTGGATGTCACCAGGATTTAAAATCTAAAATCAAGATCATACTAACTTTCATCATAATACGCAAGGCAATTCTAACCAATTCTTTACCAACATGATGTAGACACCCTTTTTTAATAAAGATTATGGCCCTAACAGGAATCAACATACAATAAGCATCGGTATTTTCTGAACAATTTTAACTTCATCATTGATTTAGAAAAGAAACTGTACATGTTGATTGCTAAGTTATGAAGATTCTTATTTAAATTTCTTCATGTATGATAAAATAGTATCAATATATTGCATTGATATTGAGCTAGATGTCAAGGGTCAGAATGAAAATCAAATTGCTACGGTAAATATGTTTGTGATGTAGAAATCAAAGAGGCCATAACAACTGCCATAGTATTTCAGAACAGAACACTGCTTTAGCCTTCAACCATGCTATTTAATGATCTCTCTCACCCACTGACATAAATACACCAGAAATAATCAAATATATTAGTGTCAACATCTACCTATCACATCCAGAGTTCAGACCCACAAATATAAACATGCATCAGTAATCCGGACGATAACTTAATCACCAGAATTCAGACCCACACATATATAAACATGTACCAGTAATCCAGACACCTACTAAATCTCCAGAATTCAGACCCACTCATATATAAACATGTACCAGTAATCCAGACACCTACTAAATCTCCAGAATTCAGACCATGTTTACATCATTAATCCATACACCTCTCACTTATCATACAGAAGCAGGTCCAGATTTTAGCAGCACACCATACACCAGAATGTTCACACCACAAACAAGTACAGGTCCTACCATACATGTACCATAGCATATGTGTACATTAACAAGTCTACCAGTACTAGCATATACCATTCCACTACAACCGCCATTAGGCATTAAGGCCTTTAACAAGTATAGGAAATGTGTTCTGATGTAAAGTGAAGTTCTATCCATCTAAGTGTTTTATATTAACAAACATATCCTACAATCTTCAGTGAGCTAGGATTTTACTGGAGATATCACAAGATATGAAATATCATCCTGAGCAGGACAGTTTGTTTCAAGGTATACCATTATTCCATGTAAAGCTAATTCATACTGTGAATTTTTTCAAAAAGTAAACAAATTTAATCAATGTAAATCTGACTTCCTCACTTTGAGTGAAAAAAATCCACAAAAATCACGAGCTGCCTACATAACAGGCTACATCGTCCATTTTAACTGTTGTAAGATGTTAACAACAGCTTTTATGGTTAAATAAAGTTGACATTTTTCTACTGCAACATGTGATGACTGGTACATCTCCAGTTCCTACCTAGAGTCCAATGTCCCCATGGTTTCAGACTTGTCATATAGTGATGTCATTAATCCAGAAAATATTCACCCATCAAAATAAGGTCATGCGCAAATGTTGCACACCTTCTGCCAGCACACTACTTTGAGCTGTAATGAATGTCGCCTGCAGCAGATAAGGGCCAGTGGCGTGTTAAGTTTGTTACGGAATATTTCACTGACTGAATGATTTTGATGTTAATTTGCTGTATAAGGATTGTATCTGAGCTTGGCAACCATGGCAACCAAACACACCTTTGTGGCCTAGAGAGATAGATGTTGTCCTTATTGCACTTTTAAACTATTACATTTATATATGATCTCAGCTATATATCCATACCAATAATCTATAATAACATTTATGATATATTCAAAACCATTTTCTTAAAGTCCTGAGGAGATATGTACAAACTTCTGTAAGTATTCAAAGTTAATCAACTCAACAGATATTTATTTCCCATTACTTTAACTCCACTATTTTCTCCTTGTTCAGGGTATTAGGTGTTATGACTCTTAGACTTTGATGTTTCAAAATAAAGTTATTAATTCTGAATGTACCAATGTTTTCATAACAAAAATATTCATAAATATTTTAAAATGGACAACACTTATGTTCATGTTTATATGATTTGCTTTCTTTACATTTTTCTTTCAAATTTTAGCCTTCATCATACAAATAAAAATATCCTTTTCCAAAACAGAAATATTTCTGCCATATCACAGAGGATTGTGAACACATAAATTAGCACCATTGATTTAACTATTCCCTCGCAATCATGTCCTCGGAATAGGAATGTACAGCGTCAATGAATACACCCACACTGTCAGGATCAGTGTCTTTGTGTATCCCGTGTCCTAGATTGGCGATGTACCGCTTCGTACCAAATTTCTCTAACATGTCTTTGACAGCAAGCTTCAACTCATCCTGGTAGAACAGCAAAAAAAGTTTCATAAGATCAGGTGTCCCTATCTCCACAGTCAATCACTATATCTAGTAACACATATATATTCCTCATATATCCTATACCAGTATATCAGGTGTCCCTACCTCCACTGTCAATCACTATATCTAGTAACACATATATACTCCCCAATATCCTATACCAGTATATCAGGTGTCCCTATCTCCACAGTCAATCACTATATCTAGTAACACATATATACTCCCCAATATCCTATACCAGTATATCAGGTGTCCCTACCTCCACTGTCAATCACTATATCTAGTAACACATGTGTACTCCCCAATATCCTATACCAGTATATCAGGTGTCCCTACCTCCACTGTCAATCACTATATCTAGTAACACATGTGTACTCCCCAATATCCTATACCAGTATATCAGGTGTCCCTACCTCCACTGTCAATCACTATATCTAGTAACACATGTGTACTCCCCAATATCCTATACCAGTATATCAGGTGTCCCTACCTCCACTGTCAATCACTATATCTAGTAACACATGTGTACTCCCCAATATCCTATACCAGTATATCAGGTGTCCCTACCTCCACTGTCAATCACTATATCTAGTAACACATGTGTACTCCCCAATATCCTATACCAGTATATCAGGTGTCCCTACCTCCACTGTCAATCACTATATCTAGTAACACATGTGTACTCCCCAATATCCTATACCAGTATATCAGGTGTCCCTACCTCCACTGTCAATCACTATATCTAGTAACACATGTGTACTCCCCAATATCCTATACCAGTATATCAGGTGTCCCTACCTCCACTGTCAATCACTATATCTAGTAACACATGTGTACTCCCCAATATCCTATACCAGTATATCAGGTGTCCCTACCTCCACTGTCAATCACTATATCTAGTAACACATGTGTACTCCCCAATATCCTATACCAGTATATCAGGTGTCCCTACCTCCACTGTCAATCACTATATCTAGTAACACATGTGTACTCCCCAATATCCTATACCAGTATATCAGGTGTCCCTACCTCCACTGTCAATCACTATATCTAGTAACACATGTGTACTCCCCAATATCCTATACCAGTATATCAGGTGTCCCTACCTCCACTGTCAATCACTATATCTAGTAACACATGTGTACTCCCCAATATCCTATACCAGTATATCAGGTGTCCCTACCTCCACTGTCAATCACTATATCTAGTAACACATGTGTACTCCCCAATATCCTATACCAGTATATCAGGTGTCCCTACCTCCACTGTCAATCACTATATCTAGTAACACATGTGTACTCCCCAATATCCTATACCAGTATATCAGGTGTCCCTACCTCCACTGTCAATCACTATATCTAGTAACACATGTGTACTCCCCAATATCCTATACCAGTATATCAGGTGTCCCTACCTCCACTGTCAATCACTATATCTAGTAACACATGTGTACTCCCCAATATCCTATACCAGTATATCAGGTGTCCCTACCTCCACTGTCAATCACTATATCTAGTAACACATGTGTACTCCCCAATATCCTATACCAGTATATCAGGTGTCCCTACCTCCACTGTCAATCACTATATCTAGTAACACATGTGTACTCCCCAATATCCTATACCAGTATATCAGGTGTCCCTACCTCCACTGTCAATCACTATATCTAGTAACACATGTGTACTCCCCAATATCCTATACCAGTATATCAGGTGTCCCTACCTCCACTGTCAATCACTATATCTAGTAACACATGTGTACTCCCCAATATCCTATACCAGTATATCAGGTGTCCCTACCTCCACTGTCAATCACTATATCTAGTAACACATGTGTACTCCCCAATATCCTATACCAGTATATCAGGTGTCCCTACCTCCACTGTCAATCACTATATCTAGTAACACATGTGTACTCCCCAATATCCTATACCAGTATATCAGGTGTCCCTACCTCCACTGTCAATCACTATATCTAGTAACACATGTGTACTCCCCAATATCCTATACCAGTATATCAGGTGTCCCTACCTCCACTGTCAATCACTATATCTAGTAACACATGTGTACTCCCCAATATCCTATACCAGTATATCAGGTGTCCCTACCTCCACTGTCAATCACTATATCTAGTAACACATGTGTACTCCCCAATATCCTATACCAGTATATCAGGTGTCCCTACCTCCACTGTCAATCACTATATCTAGTAACACATGTGTACTCCCCAATATCCTATACCAGTATATCAGGTGTCCCTACCTCCACTGTCAATCACTATATCTAGTAACACATGTGTACTCCCCAATATCCTATACCAGTATATCAGGTGTCCCTACCTCCACTGTCAATCACTATATCTAGTAACACATGTGTACTCCCCAATATCCTATACCAGTATATCAGGTGTCCCTACCTCCACTGTCAATCACTATATCTAGTAACACATGTGTACTCCCCAATATCCTATACCAGTATATCAGGTGTCCCTACCTCCACTGTCAATCACTATATCTAGTAACACATGTGTACTCCCCAATATCCTATACCAGTATATCAGGTGTCCCTACCTCCACTGTCAATCACTATATCTAGTAACACATGTGTACTCCCCAATATCCTATACCAGTATATCAGGTGTCCCTACCTCCACTGTCAATCACTATATCTAGTAACACATGTGTACTCCCCAATATCCTATACCAGTATATCAGGTGTCCCTACCTCCACTGTCAATCACTATATCTAGTAACACATGTGTACTCCCCAATATCCTATACCAGTATATCAGGTGTCCCTACCTCCACTGTCAATCACTATATCTAGTAACACATGTGTACTCCCCAATATCCTATACCAGTATATCAGGTGTCCCTACCTCCACTGTCAATCACTATATCTAGTAACACATGTGTACTCCCCAATATCCTATACCAGTATATCAGGTGTCCCTACCTCCACTGTCAATCACTATATCTAGTAACACATGTGTACTCCCCAATATCCTATACCAGTATATCAGGTGTCCCTACCTCCACTGTCAATCACTATATCTAGTAACACATGTGTACTCCCCAATATCCTATACCAGTATATCAGGTGTCCCTACCTCCACTGTCAATCACTATATCTAGTAACACATGTGTACTCCCCAATATCCTATACCAGTATATCAGGTGTCCCTACCTCCACTGTCAATCACTATATCTAGTAACACATGTGTACTCCCCAATATCCTATACCAGTATATCAGGTGTCCCTACCTCCACTGTCAATCACTATATCTAGTAACACATGTGTACTCCCCAATATCCTATACCAGTATATCAGGTGTCCCTACCTCCACTGTCAATCACTATATCTAGTAACACATGTGTACTCCCCAATATCCTATACCAGTATATCAGGTGTCCCTACCTCCACTGTCAATCACTATATCTAGTAACACATGTGTACTCCCCAATATCCTATACCAGTATATCAGGTGTCCCTACCTCCACTGTCAATCACTATATCTAGTAACACATGTGTACTCCCCAATATCCTATACCAGTATATCAGGTGTCCCTACCTCCACTGTCAATCACTATATCTAGTAACACATGTGTACTCCCCAATATCCTATACCAGTATATCAGGTGTCCCTACCTCCACTGTCAATCACTATATCTAGTAACACATGTGTACTCCCCAATATCCTATACCAGTATATCAGGTGTCCCTACCTCCACTGTCAATCACTATATCTAGTAACACATGTGTACTCCCCAATATCCTATACCAGTATATCAGGTGTCCCTACCTCCACTGTCAATCACTATATCTAGTAACACATGTGTACTCCCCAATATCCTATACCAGTATATCAGGTGTCCCTACCTCCACTGTCAATCACTATATCTAGTAACACATGTGTACTCCCCAATATCCTATACCAGTATATCAGGTGTCCCTACCTCCACTGTCAATCACTATATCTAGTAACACATGTGTACTCCCCAATATCCTATACCAGTATATCAGGTGTCCCTACCTCCACTGTCAATCACTATATCTAGTAACACATGTGTACTCCCCAATATCCTATACCAGTATATCAGGTGTCCCTACCTCCACTGTCAATCACTATATCTAGTAACACATGTGTACTCCCCAATATCCTATACCAGTATATCAGGTGTCCCTACCTCCACTGTCAATCACTATATCTAGTAACACATGTGTACTCCCCAATATCCTATACCAGTATATCAGGTGTCCCTACCTCCACTGTCAATCACTATATCTAGTAACACATGTGTACTCCCCAATATCCTATACCAGTATATCAGGTGTCCCTACCTCCACTGTCAATCACTATATCTAGTAACACATGTGTACTCCCCAATATCCTATACCAGTATATCAGGTGTCCCTACCTCCACTGTCAATCACTATATCTAGTAACACATGTGTACTCCCCAATATCCTATACCAGTATATCAGGTGTCCCTACCTCCACTGTCAATCACTATATCTAGTAACACATGTGTACTCCCCAATATCCTATACCAGTATATCAGGTGTCCCTACCTCCACTGTCAATCACTATATCTAGTAACACATGTGTACTCCCCAATATCCTATACCAGTATATCAGGTGTCCCTACCTCCACTGTCAATCACTATATCTAGTAACACATGTGTACTCCCCAATATCCTATACCAGTATATCAGGTGTCCCTACCTCCACTGTCAATCACTATATCTAGTAACACATGTGTACTCCCCAATATCCTATACCAGAATATCAGGTGTCCCTACCTCCACTGTCAATTACTATATCTAATAACACATGTGTACTCCCCAATATCCTATACCAGTATATCAGGTGTCCCTACCTCCACTGTCAATTACTATATCTAATATGTGTTATTAGATATAGTAATTGACAGTGTAGGCAGGGACACCTGATATACTGGTATAGGATATCGGGGAGTACACATGTGTTACTAGATATAGTAATTGACAGTGGAGGTAGGGAAACCTGATATTCTGGTATAGGATATTGGGGAGTACCCATGTGTTACTAGATATAGTGATTGACAGCGGAGGTAGGGACACCTGATATACTGGTATAGGTTATTGGGGAGTACACATGTGTTATTAGATATAGGAATTGACAGTGGAGGTAGGGACACCTGATATCCTATACCAGTATATCAGGTGTCCCTACCTCCACTGTCAATTACTATATCTAATAACACATATTACTCGAACTGCTATTGCTCGAATACCCTGTGTTCCTCTTACTCTGATTTATCCCTGACCACTCAAAACCTTACTGGTCTATGGACAGTACTTATCTCAATACTGACTGGTCTATGGACATAACTAATCTCACCACTAACTGGTCTATGGATGGGGTCTATTCTTACCAGTGACTGGTCTATGGAGAGTTCTATTCTAACCACTGAATGCTCTTTGGACAGTTCTATTCTCACCACTGAATGATCTATAAGCAGTACTAATCTCACCACTGACTGGTCTATGGAGAGTTCTATTCTCACCACTTACTGGTCTATGGACAGTACTAATCTCACCATTTACTAATCTCACCACTGACTGGTCTATGGACAGTACTAATCTTACCACTAATTCGTCTATGGACAGTACTAATCTCATCACCGACTGGTCTATGGACAGTACTAATCTCACCATTTACTAATCTCACCACTGACTGGTCTATGGACAGTACTAATATCATCACCGACTGGTCTATGGACAGTACTAATCTCACCACTTATTCGTCTATGGACAATACTAATCTCACCACTGACTGGTCTATGGACAGTACTAATCTCACCACTAATTCGTCTATGGACAATACTAATCTCACCACTGGCTGGTCTATGGACAGTTCTAATCTCCCCACTGATTGGTCTCTGGACAGTACTAATCTCATCACCGACTAGTCTATGGACAGTACTAATCTCACCACTGACTGGTCTATGGCCAGTTCTAATCTCCCCACTGATTGGTCTATGGACAGAACTAATCTCATCACCGACTGGTCTATGGACAGTACTAATCTCACCACTTACTGGTCTATGGACAGTACTAATCTCACCACTGATTGGTCTATGGACAGTACTAATCTCATCACCGACTGGTCTATGGACAGTACTAATCTCACCACTTTTTCGTCTATGGACAATACTAATGTCACCACCGACTGGTCTATGGACAATACTAATCTCACCACTGACTGGTCTATGGACAATACTAATCTCACCACTGACTGCTCTATGGACAGTACTTATCTCTCCACTGATTGGTCTATGGACAGTACTTATCTCTCCACTGATTGGTCCATGGACAATACTAATCTCACCACTGACTGGTCTATGGACAATACTAATCTCACCACTGACTGGTCTATGGACAGTACTTATCTCTCCACTGATTGGTCCATGGACAATACTAATCTCACCACTGACTGCTCTATGGCCAGTACTTATCTCTCCACTGATTGGTCTATGGACAATACTAATCTCACCACTGACTGGTCTATGGACAATATTAATCTCACCACTGACTGGTCTATGGACAGTACTTATCTCTCCACTGATTGGTATATGGACAGTACTTATCTCTCCACTGATTGGTCTATGGACAGTACTTATCTCACCACTGACTGGTCTATGGACAATTCTAATCTCACCACTGACTGATGTATAGACAGTACTTATCTCACCACTGATTGGTCTATGGATGTTACTAATCTAATCACTGATTGGTCTATGGATGTTACTAATCTAATCACTGATTGGTTTATGGATGTTACTAATCTAATCACTGATTGGTTTATGGATGTTACTAATTTAATCACTGATTGGTTTATGGATGTTACTAATCTAATCACTGATTGGTTTATGGATGTTACTAATCTAATCACTGATTGGTTTATGGATGTTACTAATCTCACCACTGATTGGTCTATGGACAATACTAATCTCACCACTGACTGGTCTATGGACAATACTAATCTCACCACTGACGGATATATAGACAGTACTTATCTCACCACTGACTGGTGTATAGACAGTACTAATCTCACCACTGACTGATGTATAGACATTACTTATCTCACCACTGACTGATGTATAGACAGAAATTATCTCATCACTTACTGATGTATAGACAGTACTTATCTCACCAATGACTGATGTATAGACAGTACTTATCTCATCACTGACTGATGTATAGACAGTACTTATCTCACCAATGACTGATGTATAGACAGTACTTATCTCACCAATGACTGATGTATAGACAGTACTTATCTCACCAATGACTGATGTATAGACAGTACTTATCTCACCAATGCCTGATGTATAGACAGTACTTATCTCACCAATGAGTTACTAATTTAATCACTGATTGGTTTATGGATGTGACTAATCTAATCACTGATTGGTTTATGGATTTTACTAATTTAATCACTGATTGGTTTATGGATGTTACTAATCTCACCACTGATTGGTCTATGGCCAATACTAATCTCACCACTGACTGGTCTATGGCCAATACTAATCTCACCACTGACTGGTCTATGGACAGTACTAATCTCACCACTGACTGATGTATAGACTGTACTTATCTCACTACTGACTGATGTATAGACAGTACTTATCTCACCAATGCCTGATGTATAGACAGTACTTATCTCACCAATGCCTGATGTATAGACAGTACTTATCTCACCACTACTAATTTAATCACTGATTGGTTTATGGATGTTACTAATCTAATCACTGATTGGTTTATGGATGTTACTAATCTCACCACTGATTGGTCTATGGACAATACTAATCTCACCAATGCCTGGACTATGGAAAATCCTAATATCACCACTGACTGATGTATAGACAGGACTTATCTCACCACTGACTGATGTATAGACAGAAATTATCTCATCACTTACTGATGTATAGACAGTACTTATCTCACCAATGACTGATGTATAGACAGTACTTATCTCACCACTACTAATTTAATCACTGATTGGTTTATGGATGTGACTAATCTAATCACTGATTGGTTTATGGATGTTACTAATCTCACCACTGATTTGTCTATGGACAATACTAATCTCACCACTGACGGATATATAGACAGTACTTATCTCACCACTGACTGATGTATAGACAGTACTAATCTCACCACTGACTGATGTATAGACTGTACTTATCTCACCACTGACTGATGTATAGACAGTACTTATCTCACCACTGACTGGTCTATGGATGTTACTAATCTAATCACTGAGTGGTCTATGGATGTTACTAATCTAATCCCTGACTGGTCTATGGATGTTACTAATCTAATCCCTGACTGGTCTATGGATGTTACTAATCTAATCACTGAGTGGTCTATGGATGTTACTAATCTAATCACTGATTGGTCTATGGATGTTACTAATCTAATCACTGACTGCTCTATGGATGTTACTAATCTAATCACTGATTGGTCTATGGATGTTACTAATCTAATCACTGACTGCTCTATGGATGTTACTAATCTAATCACTGACAGGTCTATGGATGTTACTAATCTAATCACTGACTGCTCTATGGATGTTACTAATCTAATCACTGACTGGTCTATGGATGTTACTAATCTAATCACTGATTGGTCTATGACACAGTATGATGTCACCCTTATGCTTATGGTGACATGTACGCTGAACTGATGAACTGAACTTATCAGTTTGCTACAAAGTAATGTCTAGCCTAGAACATCCTCTGCCATCAGGAATTATTAAAACATTTTTTATAAGTGTATAAATCTAATCAAATTAGACTCAAGGTAAACAATGCCCACCCAACAACAATGTATGATACTTACATGAGGAGCGTACAGGAAAGTTGGGTCTAGGTTACCTTGAGTGGTCACTTTAGCACCCAATAACCGTCTGAATAGATGAAAATATAATTAAATCACATTACATTTGATATGTAGTGAGAAAGTATGATTCCCCTATTGATAACTACATGAATATTCTGTATTAGTTTGTATCTCTTAGTTTACAGCAGCAAGTTAGACTACACCAGGAAGAGCACATTGGTCAAGAAAAGCACTAATCCAAACTAAATCTAATTATCATCAAAACAAAATTTCACTATCATGATTCTCAATTCAGAAATTCAAATATGTCTTAAACATGCACAATTTGTGTTGCAAATAATAAGTGAGTATAAACCCTGTATCATACCTGCCAGCTCTCCCTATTTTTGAGGGAGGCTTCCGATTTTGGACCTTAAAATTGAGCATTTTCAACCAGTGAATTTACTAAACTAGTCCTATCTTCTAATATTTGACGATGTCATCTGAAAGAACAGCTCAAAAGATGCCATTTAAAAGTGTCATTTTTCCCTAGGGTGTACATACACACATCTTATTTACGTTTTCAATTTCAATTCTCAGCATGCCTAATCTCCCCCATGGAAATTTCAAAAAGTTGGCAAGTATGATGTAGTCATACTTTTATATCAGATCTAGACTACTGTAATGGCAGTATATTTACAAAACATTTATTGTGCTGAAAATTAGAAAGTACAAACATTAACCTAGTTGTAACACAGAATTTTAGCTCACCTTGCATGCAATGGTTTCTGAGTCCAGTCAAGGGAGACAACTTCATATCCTATTTTACCAAGCTCTTCAAGAGCAAAATGGGCATCCTTGGCAAAAACAACCTTGAAGACAATTTTGACAAAATTTCAGGAACATGTTAGGTTAGATTGATTCTTATGGTAAAGATACTTCTCTTATTCTAGACACAGGAAGAGTAATTGTTGTACCAGGGTAAATATTAGTGTGTTTTCTCCCAGTGTAAAATATACGAAAAGTTGTCCCCTGTGTGTGATGCAGGAAAAGATTGAGGTCAAGGAATAATATTTTTTGACATAAACTACAGAAAGGTCTTCTTTACCATTTAGTTTAACTGTGTGTTGAGAATAAGCTAAACACTGGACGCATGGGGTTGTATTTGATTTTTTAGCCCCTTTTCACCAATCTAATTAAAATCTGATCTCTCATTTCTTTATATTAACACAGATCTCCTCAGAACAAAACATTCTGTCCTCGGCCAACTTGGCAAGTCAATTATGTCTGCTGGATATTTATTGGAAATTTCTTAAATAATGAAATGACATTTTTTTCACAATGATTTCTTTACCATGGGGACAGGCTCAACCTTTTCCACAGAAAGCATTTCCCTCACACCATAATAAATATCTTTAAGATAGGGTAAACTGAATTTGTTGAACTGGATTGGTCCTAGCTCTCCAGCACAGGAATCAAATACTTGCACAATCTGCAAAGGAAAACGGAGATACATTGTACAATCTGTAAAATTATAGACATATTTATTAGAAACAGCACAAGGGAATTAGTTGTCAGATTGTCCATGAAAGACAAACCATTTCCTGAGGCTGAAAGCCAAGGGCAACAGTTTGTCTTAAGGAAAAATAAAATGATTATTTCATAAGTGCCGAATGACGGAATCTATAACTGTTTTATTATAAAGATACCAACCAATCCTGAAGGTTTGTTGATTGTGTTGACTTTCTCGTTGCTATTTTTGTTTGTAAACTGTCATTTCCCTCAGTTATTAATCTTGCTCAAGAGTAACCAGAAAATTACTAAAATCTAAATTGCAAAATCCTATACTATATACACTTACAAACTGCACAGATATTCTTCAGAAGCAACAAAGTGTTGTCAGCAGTGATGGTTCTATCGACAACAGAGAGGTCAGGGTCAAATACTAGCTCTGCCTAGTTCTACCTATGTGATTGGCTCCGTTCTCATGGCATGACTACGATATCATAAAGTGGGCAGGACAATTAGCATGTGATCACAGCATAATGTTTTCAATGGTTCATTACAACATGGAAATAGTCCTGAAACTATATGCGGGTAAAATGAGCTATATCCCTGGGACATAGCAACTATTTGTCAATTTAAGAAAACAGCAATCACTGGACAAAAATTCAAACGTATCATTTCGACTAATCAGTGTTGCCTGGTAAACTGTGATGGGTTGACAGTTGTGCTCAAACACTAATAAAATTGATTTTATAAAATCTTAAAGCAAAACAGGTTCAGCATCAAAATCATAATGTCACAGTTTAAAGAAACTAACAATGTCAGTAAAATGTTAAGAAGCATTCACTTTTCATTAATCAGTGACAAAACAGTTGTTTCATGCTTTATAGGTAAACACTCCTAACTGTTTCCTCCTGTATGTGGATCCAACTGATGAACTGTTAACACCACATAAATGATTGCTACCTCCTTACACCGGCACACAGAGGGTCTAGTCCTAGGAATGGGGTCTTATTTGGTACTAAACTTTAATATTGAATTCCAACCTACCCATACATGACCCCGAAATGTAAAAAATATTTGAAAAGTTTCCGGAGAAAAGGTACTGATAGAGTAATATTATGTCTGAATTTCACAAAAACACAAAACTTGTGACTTAAGGATTGGTGAAGACAGACCTGTGCACCAGCCTTGATCTGTGCGACGAGGTAATCAATGACTTTGGCGGTAAGGATTGACAGAAGGTTGTGACTTTCCTTGGGATATTTCGTCAACCACTTCCTTGCTTTTGGTAAAGGTGAATGAGAGCCACCGTCAATCATAAACTTCATAAGGGTCCACTGGAACAAAATATTAACACTGGCTAAAAATAACTTTCAGGAAAAAAAGCGAAAAATTCAAAATGTTCATTTACTTACAAACTAGACTTATTCTAAATTCTCGTGTAAATATTGTCTGTGAGTCACCATAGCCATATTTCATACTGCACTTATGGAGCTATCAATAAATGATGGTGACCTACCGGAGCCCCACTGAAGCCAAACAGCGGACACTGGCCTTTGATCTGGTGGCGAGTGAGGGTGATTGCCTCCATGACGTAGTGAAGCTCCTTTGTGACATCTACACCGGTGTTAAGTCTTTCCATGTCAGCAGGGGTTTCCAGCAGAAAACCAAACACCACTCCCTATGTAAGAGATATACAGTGTTACATATTGCATGTATAATGTACCTAATTGCCTGTATTTTTTTATTTATAGCCTATGAAACCCTGGCAACTGTGAATGTACACCTGGCCGTTACACACTCTAAATAAGGGAGTGCTTCAAACATGATTTTGAATTATTTGCATGCACATTTTAGCTCAAAATATGGCACCTATTATTCAAATATTGATCAAAACATTCATTTCTTATAGCAACTACAGCAGATGTACTAACTGCACAAGCATATTATTCTTATATTGATCAACCATGCAGCTTTCCCCCTACAGTGCATACCTTGCCTTCCACGATGTTGACATCCATACCCAGCACTTGAGGGATCACTAGGATGTCAGAAAAAATGATTGCAGCATCCAGATCAAACCTCCGCAACGGCTGAAATAGACGATATATTGTATCATATGTAGAATTGTTTCACTAAAGTCTAGCAATCAAGTCAGGAATTACCATATACCAGGTACCTGGTATAAATCCTGAACAAGAGGAAATTCAAGATTTCCTCCCACAGCCCTCCTGTCTTATCTACATATCTATATTAATCTGAATACATCCTTTAACACCTTTTTTAATATTAACTTTATTTCAACATGCAGCATTGCAGGTAACTTCTTGATGAATGTCATGACAAAAAGCATGGAAAAGAGTCTAATTAGAAGAAAAATAAGGTTGTAAGTATTATAATAAGGGCAACAGATTGTACATCTCTTATGTCCCCGATTAAGGAAAATAAACTGTAGATTACCTAAACTGAAATGGAACATAATTTTAAAAAAGGCACACAAACGATACAAGTTCAAGATTATGTATTGAACAGTATCTTGTTATAGGTCTCACTCAAGCAACTTCATCCTCTGTTAATTAACATGATATTGGACACGAAAAATTGCATTAATTTAATAGATTTATAGATGGGTAAGTAATACCTGATATGTTGATACAAAAACATTGATGAAACTTCTTCAGCAACAGCATGTAAATTATGTGAGGTATTCTTATACTTCAATACTGAATAAAGTGAAATAGAAATCTCTTCAGAAACACAGACTTGTTCAAAGTATTGTCGTACCTGACCAATGAATAATTTTGATCAAATTCCATGCAGGAACGGAGTTGCTAGAGCAATGACAAAACGTGAACATATGTACTAACAGACACTATATATTTTTCACAACTCGGTTGAGAGAGGATACTTTATATTAGACTTACTTACCTGAAGTGTTAACTCACAGGCCATGCTGGGGGTCTGTACCGTTTTGAAAAAATCTGCAGAGTGCTCCTTCTTGTAGGCATTGTACTCTGAATGAAATGTAAATCATTCTTAATGAAATGTGTGTTTTTACTTTAAATACATCTTAATTTATCTAAAAAAGTTTTCAAAAGTATTTTAAATACCCAAAAATGACATTTTGATTTCTCCAGGTCAGTGCTATACAAGAGGCCCAATGGGTCACCTGGTATTCAATGATGTGGCCTTTAAAGAAAATAAAAATAAACAAAGCTTGATAACCCTATATCCCAGCAAGCAACTGGCTAAATATCCTTACCAAAGGCCTATTGCTTACCCAAGGCGTATTGCTTATTTAGAATAAGGTGTTTAAAGTCAAAAGTTTACCTGGAAGGTAGCGTCCAGCTTGTCTCATCAGCCAGACGGGAACCCGTTCTACCTTCTCACCTCTGGCTGCTCTCAAGATAAGGTCATTTTTTAGGGGAGGGAAAAACTGCAAAAAAAGCAATTGATACTTTACATTTAACAAAGCATATATTTCGTAGTCCGCCACCGATAATGATTTTTGTATTTAACAAGCTAGTCCGCCACCGATAATGATTTTTGTATTTAACAAGCTGTACAGATATCTCAGTATATAGTTCGATTCACAATGTCATACTTCTTGTTCCCCCCCTAGGTCACAGTGATGTTTGTTTTGTAGATGACACTCTGCTATCCCAAGATGTACTGTGACAAACAAAATCATGTTATATACCACTGACCATGTTATATATCACTGACCATGTTTATATATCACTGACCATGTTTATATAACACTGACCATGTTTATATAGCACTGACCATGTTTATATAACACTGACCACGTTTATATAGCACTGACTATAGCCACGGAATTAGACTATCCAAGTCTGTGCTATAGTATAGAAAATATGCCCTTGCCAAACTTTTCAAAGGTTGAGGTCAAAGGTCAAACCTTAGGTCACAGTGATGTATGTTTTGTAGATGACACTCAGCTATCCCAAGATGTACTGTGACAAACAAAATCTGGTTACTCCAGGTGAATTAGTAAAAAAGAAATGACCTAGACAAACTTTGGGATGGACGGAATTCAGACAGATAGAAGGATGGAGTACAAACCCAATACCCGACCGGGAACCGGCGGGGGACTTATAAGAAACAAAGACCAAGATGTACCAGGTTTTGGCAAAACAGGAACAAATAAATTGGGTGCTTTTGTTTCAACTTTAACAGGTTGGGCACAACGGCACATATGGGTATAAATAAGTAACAGCTATGTATAAGGAGGCAGTACCCAAATCGATTCAGTACTCAAATCGGATCACTTTTTGCAAAAATACTTATAAATAAATAAATGTGTCAACAAATCAGTTATAATAATGATGTAGTCTTAGAATAGATAGCCATGCACCCTTTTTTTGTCTTCATATGATTAGTTTTTTAAGTTTAATAGCACAAGAAAATGTAATTTAAACTCAAATGTCAGTGTTTTGATTACGTTTTTAAAAATGGCGACGACTATGCATTCTGTTTTGGGCTATAGGAATAAATTCATACTATAGAAATACTTTTTGTATGTCAAATAAATTCTAAAGGTCATCATAAAATGTTTATTGGCCGATAAAAAATATTCATTTGAAGCGTAAGATACTGTAAAAGTTAAGCCTTGATCCGATTTGGGTCCTGGCATTCGCAAAAACCGGAGACGCTGATTGGTGACTTCAGAGCGTTCTATAAATATCTCAAGTGAGCCCCGGGTGCTATAATTTCGTTTGTAAGAACATGCATCGATAATTTTCCTTTGATACAACCATTAGTGAATAAAATTCCTCCTCAGATTTTCAATGATTTAATAAAATGATGGTTTGGTCACCTTACTCTACAACATACTATAAGCTATGGAGGTGAATACAATTTTTCTCATTTTTACAAACATTTTGACAACTGATTTACCATTTTTGTTTGTATATCTGTGACATTGTATTATTTATTGGATAATGTTGACATAAGGGCGCCCCTTTTGTTAATAATGTTTAAAAGAACTTTTGATGTGTTTTCATTTCACTTTATTTCCCTATTTCATTAATAAAGTTGTTACTCAAAACGGTAACTTACAAAAATGCAGGGTTATGCGAAGTTGTGGCCAAACTTTTGAAGATAAAGTCAAAGATGAAACAGTTCGTGACCTACAAACAGTCCGCGAGGAAATTTTAATGGAAATTCATTTATCAGCAGCAGTGGCGGATCCAGAGACCTATCTAGGGGGGTTTCCAAATTTCCTGGGGGGGTTTCCATGTGGGGAAAAATTGAGGCAAATGGTGAAAATCCATGATTTTTAAAGAAAATTCTCAGGGTGGGGGGTTTCCTGAAGGCCAAAAAACCCCTCTGGATCCGCCACTGAGCAGCGATTCAAAAAGCGGAAAATTGAATTGTGTGACTGACGATGAAGACCAGCACTTTCATGAAAAAAATACCGGCCGGCTTTGATAACATCTGTGACGTTGACATTATGTCAGCTTTCTGATAATGCGTTAAATATAGGTTTTGTCAACAATTTCAGAAAAATAAAACATGACGTGAAGTTAATTTGAGAGTGTGAATCGGAGTATGGCGTTTAATAAATGGTTTGTTAAACCCTCAACGTAGTAAATTGTTTGGGACAAATATTGTACCTGTGTAATCATGGGAGAAGCCATCTTTGATCTTGCTTCGGAGTTCCTCGGCTCTTGCTCATTCCGAACGACCGAACGAAAGGCCCAATTGGCCTGCCTATATATCACTCGCAATATCTCGGCCCCATTTCGTCCGCATTCGGAGTCAATCATGACGGAATTGGCCGAGATGTTACGATTGATATTATGAGGTATATATCTATATATGATCTCTTATTTTTTACAGTTCATTTAAATTAATTATGTCATGTATTTATTGTTTATGTTACTTTTATGTAATTTAGTTATGGCTTGGTATCAGGTAATGTTTACTTTGTTTGACTTTCTGCATAAAAACAAGATTTTCAAATTTGCCCAACGATGCTTACACAAGATTTGGTTAAAATCCCTCCAATGGTACTGAAGGAGAAGGATTTTAAGATTTACCTCAAGTTCCCCTATTTGCTGTGGCCCCGTCCCTCTACCCCCGGGTGGGCCACACCCTGTCCCTCTGCCCCCGGGTGGGCTACACCCTCCTTTCTTTTAACGATTGCATGTTATCATTGTGATATTCGAGACAGAAATAAAAACGACTCGAAGAAATACTGTTTCCACCAGTACCATCTTCAGAGGAAACAAAATTGAGATCTAACTGTCTACTTGAGAACTCTGACTGAACGGTCTGTTGAAAGTATTATCTTGGCAGAATACTGGATTTTTTTTACTGGATCATCCCAAAAGGTGACAGCTGCATAGCCACGTGTCCAAGGCTGATTTTCACTGGTATACCCTATATTGAAGTATAACCAACAGTTTTTGTTTCCTGTTACACTATCAAGTAAGGATGATACCAAGCAAAAAAAAAACACACTAAAATTTGTATATTTTTTTCTGATAGTTTATTACTCCAGAATATAGTAATGAGATATAAAATCTGTATTTTCATGTAGTGTGATGCCAAACATGAATAACAAAATGTTTAAAATAAAATTCTTCAGCAATATACATGTATGTAAAAAAAAATGTAAGATTAATGGAATGTAGAGTTTAATATTTCAATGCATATCATGTAGTTCATATAAATTACATAAATATTGAAGAAAAATGCCTATATATCATAGATCCCATTTCTAATTTTTAAAAGATCACACAAATCTAAAACTAATATCTTCAAATTTAAAGCACAAATTTACAAGATAAAATTCATTACAATGAAATATTTACATAAGGGTGTCTTTAGTACTGACTTTCAAATTGAAAACTTTAAATCTTTGAAAAAATAAAATAAAAACACAATCAGTGATGAGACATGTGGGTGTTGATTTTTAAAAGCTTTGTACACATCAGTAAAGGTACTAATTTATACATCATCTTCATTTTCAAGTCCCTGTGGTTTCAACACATCACTGACACTCTCATTCATTCTCATGTGGCTTCAACACGCTGAGACTAATACAATCTTTCACTCCCTTGAGGTGAGATAGAGGAATCTCAACCCAAGAATCTTTCCCCCGAGGTTGAGATTAACAATCTCACCTCGAGGGGGTGAATGATTCTTTTCTCTTACCCTGTTGCCCCTGTCATATACATAATGAAATTTTCACATAACAGGCTCAATGCATTGTTGACATGATATTAATGCATTGTTGATGTGACATCATTGACTTGTTGACGTGACATCATACAATTGTTATGAATGGGGAATTCCCCCTTCTAAACCCTAGGGTGACACCAGGAAAGTGTTGATGCATGTTGTTGCATGTTCATTCTCATAGCCCTGTGGCCTCCACACACCGAGATACACCTAACTTCATTCTCATAGCCCTGTGGCCTCAACACACTGAGATACATCTAACTTCATTCTCATACCCATGTGGCCTCCACACACTGGGATACATCTTACTTCATTCTCACACCCCTTTGGCCTCCACACACTGAGATACATCTAACTTCATTTTCATAGCCCTGTGGCCTCAACACACCGAGATACATCTAACTTCATTCTCATAGCCCTGTGGCCTCCACACACCGAGATACACCTAACTTCATTCTCATAGCCCTGTGGCCTCAACACACATGATACATCTAACTTCATTCTCATAGCCCTGTGGCATCCACACACCGAGATACATCTACCTTCATTCTCATAGCCCTGTGGCCTCCACACACTGAGATACACCTAACTTCATTCTCATAGCCCTGTGGCCTCAACACACATGATACATCTAACTTCATTCTCATAGCCCTGTGGCATCCACACACCGAGATACATCTAACTTCATTCTCATAGCCCTGTAGCCTCCACACACCGAGATACATCTAACTTCATTCTCATAGCCCTGTGGCCTCCACACACTGAGATACATCTAACTTCATTCTTATACCCCTGTGGCCTCCACACACTGAGATACATCAAACTTTATTCTCATACCTCTGTAAACCAAGTTAAGGATTAAGCCTCCCTCCTTTTTGCATAGAAATATTTTTTTGGGGGATTATATACTTTATATCAAATAATATTCATAAACAAGTGTTCAGTTGGCCCAAATAGAGACTTTTTCTTTCAACTAACACACAATGATAAACAGCATCAATGAACAACCAGGGCCTAGTTGCTCGAACAATCATTAAATGAAGTCATCAATAAAGTATCATTAAGTCTTAATGATATATTAAATGGCTAATGACAGATTAGTTAATCTACCATTAAAAATGTGTTGTTCGAAAGGTTACTTGATGGATCATTAACTAATGGAGGTTTAATGAATGTTTAATGATGGATCAACAATTAAAGCATCATTAAATGTGCGATTCCTCTTCCCCCATGATGCATCAAAACAACACAGAAGAGGGAAGAATTAGATTTTGATACAGAGGAAGTTATGCTGCTAGCCGCTCCCCACACTCTCTCGTTTTTCTCGAGACTCTTAATAACATTCTGCTATATTCCCCGACTTCCATTTTTTTGACTTCAAATCTCCGCAGTCTCTGTACTCAATCTTTCATTCCACAACTTAACTGTAACTATAGTTTGTGAATGGTAACATTTGTTACAAAACACATGGATAGCCCTAGGTCTTTTGTTACACATTACTATAATTGGTAGGCAAATAGAAATGGCATAACAATATAGAAACATAGAAAATATTTATCAAATGATCTGTAGTATCATATACTATAGTGATATGCAAGTGCCTGGTGGTAATTATCAGCCCACCCCATTGTAAAACACATTTTACAAATACCGATCATATCTATAAATATTCCTAGAACACTAGACATGATGAAATTAGAAAATAAGCTCTACGGGCAATACCTCACCCTTACTGTAACCAACTGACTTGTATGGTAGTATTAGCATTGCACCGCCTTATAAGGACTGGGCCCCTGGACTAATCACAGGTATAATACATGGAGCTACATTATTGTATTAAAATATATAATAAAATCAAAGGATGCACATGTATCAATATAAATACCCAAAGTTTCACAAGCCATATTTTACAGAAAACTTTGATATAGAAAAAAACAGTTCCAGTAAATCATTGCTAGTATCAAGAATGGCACACATTACTCAAAATTCAAAAACTTAAATAAAAAGATATATATATATATATATAATGGAAATCACAACCTGTGTTTATTATGCCAGATATGCAGATAGGGAAATAGCTGATGTATATACTGTATTCATGTATTTACACAGCAGAAGTAGGTTAAAAATAACAATATGCAATGAAAAATAACGAGATGCTCTAGATCCTTCACTGCTAACTTGTTTTACTTTTTATTCATGACAAATTTGACCTCTGTGACCTTGACAGTAAGATAACATGATTGACTTGTAAAAAGCCATTTTATTTTTGTAACACAACACATTCAATGTCCATAGTTTATTTGTACAAACTTTATAGCCGTTTAGTATATCACACTGCTAAAAATCATTGGAAGGTGTTAACATGTTTGACCTCTATGATCTTGAAAGTGAGTCAAGGTATTTAATTGGAATAAAGAAAGCTGATAACCCTTCACCCAGCAATTTAGATGACAAAATTGACTCTTGGTCAATGAGACACTGCCATTGCATCAGCTCATGGGAACTTAGTGTCAAGTGAACATTACATTCATGCTATGTAAATAATGTGTACATATTTCTGGTTAGACATGAAACAAATATATAAACAAAATGTAATAAAAAATCAGGAAAAAAAATCTTAATATGATTTTGTTCCCCACATATACTGTTATAAAATTGTTTGTCTGTATGATATTCCTGCAAAAGGTAACTGGTTTAAATAAAATCAGTACTGGGTTAATTTTCACATGTTTGTCCTTTAGATAGAGTAATAAGACTTACAAGATTTACAATATAAAATGTTCTCTTGAGCTCAACATAAGAAAACTTTCCAAGCACATATTATGTTTAGTAACAGCTCAAATCAGAAATATTATTGTAAAATGAATTAGCATTTCAAGTAAACTAATGAGATTCAGATAATCATAAATGTAGGACATGTTTTGAAGAAGGAGGCATTTATTTAAGACTGGAGATAGGGGCTACCTAAAACTGCAGGCCAACTGATGGTTCACAGGTAGAGCAAGAGCACTGACAGTCTGCGATTGCGGTGGTTTTTCATTTTTTATTTAATAATAGGATTTGTTTTAATGAATACCTGGACAACAGTTGGCCTCACTGAATACTTGGCTAACTGCTATAGGCAGAGTTTGTTTTGGTGGATGCTGTGAATGGTTCCATGGGTTATAACATAGACAGCCTGCTGGATTCTCTTCTTTAACTGGCAAGTTTTTATTGATTACCTAGCTTTATCATTGTGTGTACAAAATTATAGTTTATATATATTGTGACAAAAGTGTAAGAAAACCTTTATAACATACTGGTATGCTAGCTAACACAAATTAGCAATATTCGTAATCTAAATGTCGGGAAAGTTTGAAGATACAAACAAATTGTATGATGTTTATAGATCTTAATTACATGCAATAAACAAATGAGAAACAGATATTTTTTATATAAAACTACACTACAGGGCTATAGATAGTATTCTTTCCCCTGTAGTGTGTCCTGAGATTCTATGATGGGGGGTTCATTGTGGTCTGTTGGATCAGTGTTTAAACCTGTCTGGGGTCCTCCATCAGTATTTGGTAGGTGATCCTCATCACTATCTTCCGAAATTGAAAAGTTTCTAGACCTAGGGTTAGTCACATAATGTTTAGCCAGTGAAGAAGCTCTTGGTGTGTGCGACATTGAGTAATTTGTTCTTAGATTTCCATGCATACTCTCTACATCTCCATTCATTAGAGTCTCTGAATGATTCACAGAATCAAGCACACCAACCATAGACTTCAGGTTTGGTAAAAATTGCAAAACTTGGTTTAGTATATCAACTTTTTCTTCCAGATCTCTGATTTTTAAATCCTTTTCTTCTGTTAATTGTTTCTGGACGTCCAGCAGTCCGTCCTTCTCCTTAGAATTGTGTTCTTCTTCATGTAGCCTGCTCTGGAGTTCCTTGACTTCTTCCTCTTTACCAGCTTTCAACTGCTGAAACTGTTGCTGGTACATCAAGTCCCTGTCAATAAGAGTCTGGTTCTGGTGTTGTATCGTGTTCTCCAGCGACGCTATACGTTGGTGCATAGCATGCAGGTGCTTGTTAGCTTCCTGAATGTTCGTCCTACTCAACATGTTTACAGCAAGATTCTACAACTGCCAAGTATTACTTGTCTGTTATCCACCTCCTTCTGTTCATTCTAACATCACCTGTGAAAGTAAAACAATCATCAGGTCCAAATTACTGTAATTAAAGACTAGATCAATAATTTATCATCATCATAGTTGCTGATACACAGTCATATAGATACATGTATATTAAATACATGTTCCTTCTTTTACTGGTACTTTCAGAAATTTACATATATGTCATCCAACTGAATGCTTGTATAACAAGAAAATTAACTGATGTATTGTATTTTATCAGCTAAGTACAACTCCCTCTTATTTTTACGCTCAAGGGTTTCACATACATGAGTCAGATTGTGCTCTTTACTTTATAACTATCAGTTCCAAAAAAAACCCATCTACAACTTCGCTCAGCCAACAGTTCTGGTCGGCATTCATCCTCGATATATCCAGGGGTTATGTTCACTTTCGCTCTCTTCACCCCTGGAATACAGTATGTCATAGCAAAATTGAAGGCTCAGTGTATGCCACCTTGTTGAGGAGACAAGAAGACTAGATCGATCCTTTGATATACATCAAAAGAAACTCACAGTATTTGACCCTAAAAATTGACAGGCTTTGAAGTTGGGCGTCTCTCCTTTGTAATCTTCAAAGGACAGGCATCAGCCTAGCGATTGGTCAGTTTATTTTACCTGACACAAATCAAACAGATATCTTAGTGTCTTCAATTTTGCTTATAAAATATTCTAGGGGTGTAGAGAGCGAAAGTGAGCGTAACCCATGGATATCGTGGATGGTTGGCAGTGAGATCTAGTACATTTCAGAGTCACCCAAAGAACTAAGAACAATTTGCATAGCATTGATCCATAATGTATCCAAGTATCAGGACTTTAGACCTTATGATTCTTTATTTGTAATGTTAACATATTTGACCTCTTTGACCTTAAAAGTAAGTTAGGGTCTTGCAGTATGAGGAAACCGTATAGCACTCCATCCTAGGTACATAAAGGCCAAATATCAAGACCCATTATGGCCCAAATGTTGATCTTTGACCCAAGCCAGCACTCATACATAAACTTAGATCTAAATACAATATATTAAAAAGAAGAGAGAAAAATAAACCTCAGTGCCAGTCTACATATCATACCTAAGTACCATAGTTCTTAATATTATGGTTCTAATCTTAAAATAAGCTTGTAATTTTTTAACATATTTTACCCCTGTATACTCACAGGGGCATGGATCGCTTTACTTGTAATATAAAAACAATAGGGGTCTCCTAAACTAATATTAGTATAGGAGACCCCTATTTTTTTTAAATTACAAGTAAAGCGATCCATGCCCCTGTGTGTATACTCGCCTTCTCTGTAGTCCAAGGGAATTACATCATAGACCAAGTTGTCTTTGAAGTTATATCCTATGATTTACTTAATTTGGTGATAAATATATCAGTGTGCCACTCAGAAAAAAAGTCCTCAATGAAATTACTTGGCTTCCTTTAATATACCATTTTTATTTTCTTTATATTTGATATGAACTGAAACAGGAGAAAGAGGAAATGTAACGGGTTCGAATCCGGAACCCTCCGAACTCTAGATGGACCAATTGAGCTACCTTGTTGCAAACAATCGCCCCAGTCCAGAACCAGTTTCCTAGTGTAGGAATCTGGTCGATCAAGGTTTCAGAAAGTCTATAAAAAATCTGTATCTGATAGACCTATTGTCCTGTTGTCTATGGTGTGTAAATCCTAAATTATAAGACTGATATCACTTATCAGTGTCCACTACATATATATGACCAGTTAGACAATGCTGCACATTACACGACTGCCTACCACCAGACAGTCGATGCTTTTATGTCAAACAGCAGACATCATTAAGCCCTATCACTGCTAACACAGTTCTGCACTCATTAGTGAATCTGAACTGACAGCTGACAGTGACAGCTTGAATCAAACAAACGAAACACCTCAATGGACACATTTTAAATTGTGTCAGCGATATTAAACGTGTCGTATATCAAAAAGAATCGACTTCTACCTATGTGCAATGAATACTGACCAGGACAAACCTGCTGACAACATTTTTTCGTCTGCAATTTTGTCGAAATCGAACTCCGAAGTCGTGTCAGTCAAACCCGGAAGTTGATGTCTTATGCCGTGCATGCGTATCCAAGTTTTACACAATTGACCAATCAATAGTCGTGTTGTTCTTGACCGGGTTCCGTCCAACCAACCAAACTAATTATAACATTTATCGCCATTGGCGCCATTTACAGCAGCTAGTCAATGTGAAAGCAGTAGGCCTCGAAATCATGGCTAAAGTAAACATATTAGATGTAGTTGTCTTAGATAACCCGTCGCCATTTCTGAACCCATTTCAGTTTGAAATTACGTTTGAGTGTTTGGAAGACTTAACGGAAGGTATGTATTATGTCCTGCATATCTGCTATGAAAACAATGCCGACATCGTTGAAATGTGTATTCCGTGTGTAAAATAGCCTAGAAGCCGGTAAAAATCCAGACAATATATATATGTAAAAAAAAGCGAAATTGATCAATTAGGCTGTACCAATAATATCGATTGATAAAATTGTTCTACACAATCAATTAGTTGTTTTAATTAAAAAATTAGGAGACGTTACGGAGAGCATCTGGATCGTGCATAGGTGGTGGGCACGTCTATCAAAAAAAAAAATGCATTTTTTTTTTGATAGACGTGCCCACCACCTATGGATCGTGGTTAAAAATAGGCGGCGAGTCTAATTACCCAATACTACCCAATACGACCCAGTTATGAACCAAATACTTCTTTATTACTGTGAAATATCACCTTTGTAGACGTTATTTACTTCCATCTGCCATAATTTATCGGGAAATATGCGATTTGGTGCCGAAAACATCACCGAATTGCCGTGACTATGACCCAATACTACCCCATACCACCCAATACTACCCCATACGATCCAGTTATGAACCCAATACTTCTTTATTACTGTGAAATATCGCATTTCTTGAAGTTATTTACTTCTATATGTCACATCCTATCTGGACATATGAAATTTGGTGCAGAAAACATCACCGAAATGCCGTGACTAGGGGTTCGACGATTTACAGGAACGGGCAGGATCGGGCAGAAAACTATTAATTATTATATATACATTGATGAATATATATATTTAATTAGATACATTTAAGTATCATTATCGGGTATAAGATATATTTGATAAAAGAATTGCAATTACATGATACTATATTAATTCTATTCATGTCATAAAATGGTGTTATTAAGATCATATATATAAATTTAGCAGGAAATATTTAGAAAATTTTAAATTACTTTTCATAAATGTTAGTTATTCAATTTTGTTAAACATAACAGTATCAATTATATAACAATGCTGGAGAAGAACCTTCAGTTAAATTAGATACTCAAATACTACGAAATTCAAAAAGTATATGGATTGTATATGATTCGAAGTCCTTTCAATTACTTGATTAACTCACAGATAGTCTGTTTTGGACAAGCTAGATATTTTTTCCATATATAGTTCCCTGACCAATCTTATGAAGGGTAGACGAGTAGGTTGTCATTAAGTAATGTAAAAATTAAATAGATTAATAAAAGGAATTACGTTACGCTTCTTATACATCAATCCAGAGACGTATATATTACATTACGTAATATATACGTCTTTGATCATCCGAAAGCAAAATACTAAATGACATGAAAACTTGATTCGACTCCCAGAGATACTGTATACACATATACTTTATTCAACTCGTTGGCCATCTCAAGTAAATGTGATCTCTATAGATACATGGTAGATACCGTGATGTTGCAATTTTATTTAACATCTAAGTCCGTGATCTAAATCACAGTTACAGGTAAATATATATATTATAATTTAATTTTATAATGTCTTCCGAGGAATTACAAATTCCACTTGCAAACCACTTATATAATATGTACAGAAGACGTAGCAGTCTATGTGATTAGTTATAATTTTAAACAGTGTCTTGTAAGCCATTTTAGGCTGAACATCATATACAATTACATTTTCTATTTAATGCATTTGTTAAATATGATACCAGGTGTCAATCAGAAACATTTTTTTATGAAAATAATCTTCCGTTTAAATATAATTAGCTACTAGTTAGTGTGAATTTAGCAGACCTCGCTGGAAGGGGGCTCCCCAACCCTTGGAAATCTAAATTTCACTACAATGTAGAACTAGGAAATTATTCATTTTATTTATCACCATTGTTATTGTTTTTTTAAAGACATCATGTTTTAAGGCAGTAAATATAAAAGAAACCTTTTAACTATTATAGTATGTAATATGTAAGGACAAAATCCAGGAGTTTGTTAGGTAGGGGCTGTCCCAATCACCTGCTCTCTGGATTGGCACATGTGATAGTTTGTTTTAATTTATTAATGTATTATGTATAATAGCTGTTCTTAACAAAATTATGATATTATAAATTATGTAACTATATGTGTTTATACTGTGTAACTATATACTTGTACGATGTAATTGTGATATATGACACTATAATAAACAAAATTGACTTGACTTGACTTAACTATATATATATATATATATATAGAATATGCAATGAAGACGAAAACGGAGATAAATTTTGAATAGAATTGGCAAATAGAGGATTTCCCCCAAAATTACTTGTAGTCAACTAAATTAGAACAAATGTTTAAATAATTTTATTATGCAATGAACGTTATAAACGTATTGACGTACATGAACATTCTACGGATTTTTTTTTATTTATAACAACTATCGATATAATATGTATAAATATAGATTTGTTCCAATATATACTAAAGATACATGGTCGTGAAAAGTAAATCTACTCTTACTAAATACTCGTCAAATTTATTTAAACAAATTTAAGTCTTTAAAAACATCAAGTTATATGAATGCATAACCACGGACTTTATCTAATTCCGTGTACAATATCTAATTTTAAACATAAACTTAGTCCCGTGCAATTGAATAGATTCTTGATATATGAAATCCATTTAAAATCAGCGAAATCATTTTTATGTAAATTCAGCATAAGCTTGTACATTATACTAGACAATTTATTTTCACCTGTAATTAGTTTATACCAAAACATTATCATTCTAGATTTAATTTCAATATCCAGCGAGTACCTACCCGTTTCACCATATACCATTATATTTGCTGTGGAGCTACGTATGTTTAAAATTCTTTAACAAAACTGTACACGTAATTTCTCAATCATATTGGTATTTTCAAACCCCAAAATTACTTTTTGAAACGTATATAGATATTAAAGCATGAAGGATAAATATATTTTCAGTTGTAGAGTAGCCTTTCCTTAAACCAGCTTGAACATTGGAACAAGAAGTCTATTGTCTACTATTACGGAATTAGATAATCAGTTTTGACCACATCGGCCTTTGAAAAAAAATGAAACTTAAAGCGTTTCACCGTGTTTCTTTCTTCTTTACATATACAATTAATATACAGTATCGTTTTTCTATAACAGATAAGGCCTAACAATCCAACATATGGACTTCAATATTTATTTACGTAAAACACGTATTTCAATTAACTTATATTTACATATAGAATAATATTTAATTTTCAGATTGATGTCCCTTTTTTGAGTTGGAAAATTGCGTATTTTCTTTTTTTTAAGATCGTAGACGTGATGGGATTGTAATCTACACATTAACACCAATTAATTCACTCAAAATATATTCATGCTATTTATTAAGAGTTGAGTATAAGTTATGAAGTTATTAAAATTTAGTTATCATAATGTCATTTCCAATGTTTCAGGTGTTATGACATCGCAATAACAATGTCATATATATAAATGAGAAAATAACTCAGATACATATTTATTATATATGTAATATATAATTCTCTGAACAACCCTTTTTTATAGAATAAAACAGAGACATAAATTGGAACCTCGGCCTGGCAATTTATATATATATATATATATATATATTCCGATCCTGCCCCGTTCCTGTAATTGCAATTCTTTTATCAAATATACCTTATACCAGATAAGGATAATTAAATATATACAATAAATATATATAAATAAGTCCGATCCTGCCCCGTTTCTGTCCGTTCCTGTAAATCGTCGACCGTTCTTGCCCGATCCATATCAATACAATACTTTTTTTTAAATTCTTTGCAATCCTTTTATCAAATGACGTATCTTGTACCCGATAAAAAAGATATAATAATATAAATATAAATATAATTTAGTCCGATTCTGCCCCGAATGGCGATCATGTAATTGCAATCATTTTATCAAATATATCTTATACCCGATAATGATACTTTAATGTATCTAATCAGAGACGTATAAAGCCATAACTGTGTTATATACGTCTCTGATCTAATATATATATTCATTAATGTATAGGCCTATATAAAAATTAATAGATTTCTGCCCGTTCCTGTAAATCGTCGAACCCCTAGTCACGGCATTTCGGTGATGTTTTCTGCACCAAATCGCATATTTCCAGATAGAATGTGACATATAGAAGTAAATAACTGTGACATTTCACAGTAATAAAGAAGTATTTGGTTCATAACTTGGTCGTATGGGGTAGTATTGGGTGGTATTGGGTAGTATTGGGTGGTATGGGCACGGACTTAGATCTAATCTAATTCCGTGGTATGGGGTAGTATTGGGTCATAGTCACGGCAATTCGGTGATGTTTTCGGCACCAAATCGCATATTTCCCGATAAAATATGGCAGATGGAAGTAAATAACGTCTACAAAGGTGATATTTCACAGTAATAAAGAAGTATTTGGTTCATAACTGGATCGTATGGGGTAGTATTGGGTAGTATTGGGTAGTATTGGGTGGTATTGGGTAGTATTGGGTAATTAGACGTGCCCAAAAATAGGTGATATCCTTTTAGTAGGGCCCGCTTTAGCAAGTCTCAAAAATAGATTTATTTGCTGATTGTAGATATTTAATAACATTGCGTTATTGCCTCGTAGTTTTATAGCTAATTTTTCGGTTAACAAGAATTTTATATTTTCATAAATCGTCTTTCATAAATTTCCTCTTACAGAAACTCCCTACGGGATCCCCAAAAAGACAGTATTTAAACCTTTTTTTTTTTATTGATAAATAAATGATAATAAAATAAATGATCTATATTTAACGTGTAAATTGTCAACAACAAAGTAACAACACCGCTAAGGGAACAAATGTTGTTTTTCGTGGTGGAGGAAAGCCCAATTGGGGGGAACCACAGTGCCATTAGAGGAATAACAACTAGCCCTATACTATCAGACATCACTCTTTTTCCGCCACTGCTGGGGATTAAACCTAAGTTATAAGGAGAGTGAGTGGTCTGAAGATCACGCTTAACTGATTGCACATGACTGTACGCGTTAGCAACATCTACGGCTACTGTCGCAACAATAAGTTTCAGAAAGATTTAATCTTATAATTTACAGATAAATCTTCAACTTTTTTTTATAAAATACATGATAACTTGTTGTTTACTGAGCGTCTGCAATTACGACTGATATTGGGACCGTGTGTACGGTTAAAGGTAGTTAATCAAACAGATAGATACTGACAAGGACCACTAACAGCTGAAATTGGGAGACATGAAAAAAACTTGTGATTTCAGCTTTTCTTTGTATAAAAAGAAAATACTGATATGTATTTGACTGTTCCGAGCCCCTAAATATTTCATTTTAAAGTTGGAACTTTCTTCATCGCAGTTCAATTCACATGTACCATATCATGCCAAAAGTAAAGCAATGGCACTATTGAAACAAAATGAGGTGTTTCTAACTTTCTATATCTAATAATCTGAGAATATTATCATACCTTTGTGTCGACTTGTTTTCAAGGTATGAAAAGTTATTCAGATGAAATTAATTTCACTAGGCCATTTTTGTTCTTTGTCTTGCAAAAATAATGGCAGTGATTTTTTTCTCTGAGAATAACTCACAATATTTTGCAAATCTTTTAATGGAAAAATATGAAAACATTGCCAGATAAAACATCAATTTTTGTTTTAATGGTGTCCAATTTCATTTCATTGGGGCAATTATTGGCTCCAGGAAAATTCTATGAGTAAAGATAGAGATGCATGAAATTGAAATATAAAAGTTAATCCAGGTGGTAAAAATGCTGTATATTTGTCTCTGCAAGTTCCTGCTGGTGAATAGTATCACGCAACCTTTACTCTTGCAGTACATGTATACATACACAAAAACTGTGAACTTTGTGACTTTCCTTATGTCTTTTTGGCACATTTGAACTGCCAAGATTTAATATTTCAGCATAATTTTGTCTAAGGTCATTTTCAACTTCACTTTTCAGCATACTATATTATTTAAATTACGATGCAATTGTTTGTACATTTTCCCAATCGCTGTATTAATCATGATCAATTATATAATATATAATTAATTAATATCAAAACATCGAAGATACGTTAGACCTACTCCATTCTCAGGCTTTTTCGTATCTGATTGTGAATATTTACGGTACCTGGTGCATGCAGGTTTACATGGAAAGAAACTCAATCGCTGCCATAATGTGGTATATTTATGTATAATTTGTCTGTCATAGTTGACTAAGATGATTAATATTGCACATCAGGAGTACCAGTGTTTTTGTTACCTTTATTTTACAACAGCCAGTTCCTTTAAAAGTTTACAAGATTATTGGTCACCTTAATTAAGCTTTATGATGATATAGAATTGAACAAAAACATAGATGTTTAAGTTAAAACATTGTAAAATAAAGGTCCCATATAAAATAGGGATCAGATATTTGAGTCCTGAAATCTGAAACTTCAACTTTGGCTTTTTATTTATTCAACTTCCTCTTACTTATTTGACCAGACTCATCAACATTTTGAAAAATGTACAAAATGTATGTAATTTTAATAATGTTCTTTTTTTATATTCCACAGATTTAGAATGGAAAATAATATATGTTGGTGCTGCAGAGAGTGAAGAATATGATCAAACACTGGACTCTGTTCTTGTTGGTCCTATTCCAGGAGGACGACACATGTTTGTCTTTCAGGTATATATAAATGAATAATTATAAACATTGTTCAATTTATTGTCAGATGTTTTAAATTTCCCAAAATAAATAAATTTAACACGTTTTCTGTTCTGAATTGAATTATTCCATGAAGACATTCCCTTGGATTTGTTTGTAAGACAGCTATTTCTGCCATCAGAGTGGAGCTGTATATGATCAGTCCATATATTGGAAAATAACCAAAGATGTTCATGCAACATAATTAGACCCGGGCCCCTCCAACGCTTTTTTTTAGAATGATAAATGCATACAGATTTTGCCAGCTTTTTTGGGAAAGGGCCCCTGAGCAAGAATTGGAAAAATATCATCGCATTTAGCAAAAATTGGGAAATATCAGCATTCCCACATGTATAGGTCTGGAAAATATTACACTTACAGGTTAACCGTTTGGCAAAAACAAACCTAATGTGATTAGCAAAAAAAACCATTTCCTCCGGCCGAAACGGAGGTATAGTAAAATATATAGCAATAAATAAACACATCAATTTTTAGTGTTTTTGTGTAATTTCAAATTTTTGTTATTTATGTATTTTACATGCTCCTTCATTGATAATACTTTGAACATTGCACATATAATGACTGGAAACTTAATAAACATCCTTTTAAATCCATTTGGGAAAATAAAACTGAAATTAGGAAAATTCAGGGTCATTTTTCAATTGGGAATGGGTCCCTGTACGTCTGGACTACTGTCTACATGTACCGGACCCTTTAAACACTTATGTATACCTGGCTAAAACCCTGGCATATGTACATGTATAAATATACCACATTATTATTGGGGAATTTAACATGGGAGCGTCTCTACCTCTTTTTCATGCAGTGTTCTCACTAGGTTTTGAAATAGGTGGTCAAGTGGAAAACAATTGCCTGTTGAATATTCACATGCTATAATTTTATTAACCTATATGTATTCTAATGAAATAGCCGTTTCAAAGTTGATAAATAGCAGGCTAATTTGGCAGGAAACCAGCTTTTAATAAGAACAGTCATGGGGGAATGAATAGAATGTTGTTAAAATAATATAAAAATATGAGGCATGCTATTTAAAGAATGTTACATGTATAATTGAAATAAATGTTGATGTTTTTAAAGTACTTTTTTCTGTTTTAGGCTGGACCTCCCAACACAGATAAGATCCCAGTTGCTGATGCCGTCGGTGTTACAGTTGTGTTATTGACATGTTCGTATAGAAACCGAGAATTCATCAGAGTAGGTTATTACGTTAACAACGAATACAAAGATCAGGAGTTAAAGGAGGAGCCACCCTCAGTCCCGCAATATGACAAGGTAGGAAAAACATCCATGCCATGCAGAAAATATCTATTATCTTTTTGTGTTAGTTTCTCACCACACCATCATCAAATGGTCATGAAAAATTACCTACCCATGATCCTTCTGATTGCTCTTGAACAATTCCTGCTAATGATGATGATATTCCTCAAGAGGTACTAGACGGAACAATTTGATGAACTGATGACCAGCATATATGTACAATAATTGGTAACGGTTGGCCATCAATGTTTGCAAAATGCTGTTTTAGACATGTTAAGAAGTTAGCTGTGGCTACGTTGTATTTGGTTGAGTAATCCTTCCTGTTTGTTGACTATCCGTGTGTACTTATAACATTCACTGTTTCCAATAATTATAACATCATTATAATAGCAACCAAAACATGTCCATTTAGATGTTTTGATGTTGCAGAAACTGATGTGAGGTTTCTTCACGATACATATAGGTACCTTGTCATGCATTCTTTCTATTTCGTTTCTGGTCAGATTTGGAGGAAGGGCAATAACTCATAGTCATATTTGACACTAAGTAAATAAATACATATCCTGTATCCTATTGTGGGTCTGAGTATCAATAAATGTAAAATTGATATAAATCATGACATTAGTAAGAATTTGTAACAGATGTAAATACTGATGCAAAGCAATATTGTAAGAAGCCCAAGTTTCCTCTGGCCCCGACACCAGACTTAGACATTTTGACAGAGACATGTAGATGTACCAGATATCTATCTGTCAAAATGTCAAAGTCTGGTGTAAGGGCCAGAGGAAACTGGGGCTATATATATTGTAAGCAAATATTGTAGCCATGATACCTAGGCTATACATGGTAGTCATGGTAAGTCTATTGCAATTGTGGCAAATTTAGACATTAAGTAACATTTTATGTTAGCAAATATCAATTTCTTATTGAAAATTATCATATAAAATGCTTCATGTACTTTATCTCTTTACAGCTTGAAAGGAGTTTATTAGCCACCAATCCGCGAGTGACTCGATTTAAAATTGACTGGGATGACAATGGCGAAACGCCTGCTGATGAAAATGTTCCCCCAGCAACAAACACTGAATCAGAATCAAACCAGATGTGTGTAGAAAATAAAGACGGTGTGTTGAACAAACCTGTGGCAGCAGTCATGAACAACAATAGCTCAAGTCTAGGGACAGGCGACAATATAAAAATGGAAATGTGATCATCATGTATTCATCTCATTTATTGTTGTGTCAAATATCTACATTTAATACCAGGACCTTAACATCACATAAAAATCACTGATAAATGTTCAAAGCAGTTACAACCTTTTCTCATTACAGGATTTGACTATATTATTGGTTAAACAAAATGGCCACTCTCCCCTTAACAGTGGTTAGTGTTATTGTCTGCATCAAGCTTAAAGATAGATAATAGGAATCATTTACATTTTGTCCAATTGATACTGAATAATGTTTAAAGACTGTTATTGCAGCTGTTGAGATTATTTCAGTGATAACAAATTTAAAATCCATTACATTAAGCTATATTATCTTATTGAAATGTTTTCAGAAACAAATGGAGGTAGGCAATTGAGCCATAATTATACTAAATATACCAAACCATCATCACAGTGATACCTAGTAGGGGGAGGAAATAGAATTTTTCTACATGTACATTGATAGTAAGATATTTTGAAAAAATTGTTGAGTTTTGATGACAATCTGATTGTTTTTCTAATAATTAAATCACTGGATTTCTTATATAGAGTTAATCACGAAGCTTATCTACTGTGCTTTTGGTCATGGTAGTTGATAATTTAAAGCTTTTTCTATGTACAGTATAACTGGGAATAACTTCAAGATGTTCCATCTCTCAGGAGGAAAAGGCCTGCAACCTATCGTTGTCTCGGTATGAATTAAGTAGAAATAAGACTCTTCCATAGGTAAAACAAATGCTGTGGTACCACTAGCTGTTTACAGCAAACAATTTAGTGTTGTAGTTCCTTGTTTACTTAATGAGATGTTTCTATTGTCAATTAACCTTATTTATAAAAACAATACTGGGAAATGTTGAAGATCCTACAGTTTATATTCATCAAGTATATTCAACACCAGAACATAATCTGCACTAGTTGACTACCCTGATTAGTCAGTTAAGATTTTGTCATTTCAGTGCTGTAATATATACACTGTACATATGTCAATTAACAATAATTACAAAAATGCAAACCCAATGTTGAGTGTATTAAGTACCAGGTTAATTGACATGGTACGTGTATAAATAGGGCTGGAACAGTTAAGAAATAATGACAGCCAGATAACTGGGTGCTTATAATTATTCAAACCAGCACCGGGTATCCCATGATTTTTTTTTTGTGTCATTAGCTACAAGCATCAGTCGCTGAATTGATTAAATAAATACTTTCAAAGAAATAATTATGTTATAAAAATGTTGGTAATTTTCAAAATATCCAGAATTAGCTTTCCATAGCTACATTCTTCACAGATGGGGGGAAACCCTAGGCTTGTACATGTGTTCTCATTATACATGTGCTATTAGCACGTTACTTGCATGTTTCTTACATCAATTGACTTCTGCAAGACCACCTCTGTGAATGAGAGGTACATAGTTCAACAAAATGTTGGTCAAAATATGTTCACCTAATTATGTACTTAAAAACTATAAGTTTGTTGTGTGCTGAGTATGGTACATTTACTGATAATTTGCTTGCATATCTAGTCTGTCAGACAGTTACAAGTCATATTTTCGACCAGGAAAATCAATAACTATTTACTTGAACTTTGACAGTTTATAAATATTGGGTGCTAGCTATAGCTATACAATAGTGAGGGGCATTGATTGAAATTTTATGATTGATCATTTAATTTTTTACTGTTTATTTACTGGTGATTGATTAATAATCATAATTCTCCCATGTTGGTGAAACCCACTTGCACAAGTAAATAAAATGAGACAAAGTTGTAAGAACTCTTCGATTCCCTTCAAACAATATGATTTATAGTCCAAAGTAGCCATGAGTTGACTTGAAAGTCAGTGAAAATGCTGACACAACAGCTGGAAATATCCTGAGACTTCTGCTGCTTGGTTCTTGTTGGTTTCTAGCTATATATAGTACAGAGACAGGCTTAAAATCACCAATTGCAAATCTCAAAACTCCATGATATCTACACATGGTTATTGTAAAATTGATCATGAATTCTGTAGTCAGTAGTTGACAGAGTTGATTAATTGGAACACCGCTATTTGGTACAAACCAATAAGTAACCAGGTACTGGTTAACTGCTCCAGCCCTGCTATTATAACTGTTTATTAGTTTGCCAAAATGTCTAGTAATTAGAATTGTATATTCTTTGGTCAACTGTATCTTGATGTACCACATGTCTAGAAATTTATTTCATACATTTGAAACATTTTATGGTTTGCAGATGTGAAAAAGTGTTTCATCAGCATGATACGCACTTGTATATATATATTATTTGAAAATAACATTTTTGCAAAAACTTTTGGCCACAAAAAGTCTTTGTAGATAACATTATTTGATAATATATCAAGTCAAATCAATATCTAGCCAAAGTGCCAAGTGAGCTTATGTCATGGTGCAGTCAGTATCTGTCCATCCGTCAAGACAAATGTCAACTTTCTAAACCACTTCTTCTGAATAACCAAGAGACCTAGTGTAATGATGTTTGGCCTGAAGCTTAAGTGCTGTGTAGTATGGGAAGTAAGTTTAAATTTTCCTACAAAGATTCATAAGGTGTAGATAACTGGGTAGGTTATTAAATCTTCAGAAAAAGTAATGATTTGCCTTTTTAAATTTAACCTGTAATCCAAGCTGAATAACAGGTGAGCGATACAGGCCCTTTAGTAATCTTCTTGTGAAGAATTTGAACTGAAGTCAGGATGTTTATTTTGTTGAGAAAATGAATTTTGCATAAAATTTGTCCATTGTGTTCCGGTATGGAAATGCAATGTTATTCAACAGTTTGTTAATTATTTATATATACATTAGGTACTTTGTACAGATGTAGTATTCACAAGTAGTTGTGAAGCTCTAAAAATTTTATACTTGAAAAATACAAGATTGTATTTGATCAATAAAATCAATAAAAATAATTGGTGTTGTTTTTCTCAATAAGTATTACCATAGGTTATTCTTGTAATGCCCCAATAAGTTTTTCAGATGTTTCTTAGAAAACAATTTATCCTTTGTAACCCAAATTTAGGTGAATGATCCCTAAGTGATGCTGAAGAGTCGTAAGGATTTTTGGATCACTCATGATCAGAGGTCAAGATCATAGTGGCTATAAATACATTGAAGTAAACTATGGGAAAATGTTCTGATGCTATTTCTTCAGTTAAACCAAAATTTGGGTGGCAGATAGCTCTAGGGAATAGGAAAGTCCTCATTGAGCTTAGGGATACAAGGTCACGGCTACAAAAATTGGACAGAAATTTTATAAAATGTTGATATTCAGATGGTATCATTTGAACAATGCATCAAATCTTGAACCAAATTAATTTTGTCCCTTTGGACAGGGACAGTATATACGTCCCTGCTTTGGAACAAGAATATCTACTGATTTTGGGGTCACTAATTAAGGGATCAAGGAAGCTATAACTTTAAAAAAAAAATATAATATGTTCTTAAAGGTTTAGATTCCAGCACTTAATTTGACATATGCCCCAAAATCACCAGGTGCTTATTTGTGGAGCATAATTATGTTATTTCCACTGCTTTTTATCCCCTGCATGGCAAAGTTGATGGGGAATATAAAAATGGGCTTGGTCCAATTGTTCAATTCAGATCAAGATATGTACCAGGTAAGTGCCAAGTACTTCATGTATATATAATGCATGTATTTTCATCGTTGATACAGCTAGGGACACTTTACATAAAGTTGATGGGGAATATTAAAATGGGCTCTCTGTCTAGTTGTTTACATCACAGGTACTAGCCTTGTCTGTCAATACACCTATAAGATTATATTAAAGGTGTATTGACAAACGAGGCTAGTACCTGTGGTTTACATCAATAAAAGTAGTAAAGTTCATGTCTTGGTAATAACCGGTAGAGTGCCAATCTTCTACATGGATGATAAATTGTATTTGCATCATTAATGTAGCTAGAGATGCTTTACAGAAAGCATGTTGTGGATGCTGAATTTGATGGGCATTTTATGCGTCAGTGACTTCCGTTTTACCCTCATCTATCGCATTAAGAAACTTGTTGAATTAATATCTTGGTACAATGAAGCTTGCAACAATGCAACCATAGGGTTGCTGTTGCAGATGCTGAATTTGACTTCATTTTACATTTTGGTGACTTTTTAACGACCCTTGTTTATCACGGGCAGATTTGACCATTTCTGGGTTATTCTAGGTGCATTAACATAGGAAATACTTTCATCAATTAACTCGCCGTTAAAATTGCACAACAGAACCTGTGTTGCAGATGCTGAATTTGACTATGCTTTAAACTTTAGTGACTTTCTAAATAACTTGCTCTCATAACACATGAAAGAAAGATATTAAGCCCATATATCTTGGTAAGAATAAATGCTGCATGGATAATACTTACACCAATGATGCAGCTAAGGTAACTTTACCTTTCACAGATGTTTAGTATGCTACACAAAAAAAACAATTGCTATGTGTTGGATTTTGACATTTCAAGTTCTTTATTGCTAGTTCTTCAGAAGTACTGACGAGATCTTTCTCAAATTTCACATACAGGCATAGTTGTGCTTGTTTTATTTTAGGGCAGATTGTAAAAACAACATTGCCATCTATCTATTTTGGTACTAAAAACAAAATAATCAAGATGAAAAAAATGAGGGGACACCCGGGTTCGAACCAGGGACCTCTCGATCTGCAGTCGAATGCTCTACCACTGAGCTATATCCCCTCTTGACTGATGCATTACAAAATAAAGATTATAAGCTTTCAAAGATCAAAGAAGTATTACCTTAATTTAAATTTGTATATTATAACCATTGAATGATTTTAAACTTAATTAGATTGCTCACATTTTTAGACAATACTGTTACTTGTATATTTACTTGCCATGTAAAAACGGGCACTGACCCTCTTGTTGTCACCGGCAACGACCAAGCGTACATCCGGGTTCCGTCAAGATGGCTGCAAGCATATAAACAAATCGTGTTGTCAGACAACTAAACGCGAGGTAATGTCAGTTATAACTTGTGTTCAGTTCAGAAAAATAGGCCAATGAATTAAAACATTTCTTTGATATTTTTGAATGTAGAATCAGTTTAATATCGCCAACAACAATCGAGAAATGACGAAATATCGCGTACTGTAAATATGAATGAGGTTCGCCATGTTCGTCCAGGCTCCATGTAATGTGTAAAATGTGTTATTCGCTCATTATTTCTCCTCAAAACAAAATAGATTGGACTTATTTGATAATCACGTATAGTGTACAGTGTAAACTATTTTCTTTGAGGAAACCGTTGAAAATACATGTATTGTTTTGTGCTGAAAAGTGATATTTTCTTCTTATCGATGAGAGACGAATCTCCATGATTGGAGCGATTATTGTCACAAAAATTCTTTATAACAGAATTGTTGTGCACGTAGTGCATAGCCTTGAATATTACAAATAGATGGGTGAAATCTACGTACATGTTCTCATGAAGTATTTGTGTAGACACTATTATCAAGAAAACTGTAAGATCGAATGCTTCAAATTTCCAGAATAATGACATATATTTCCACACTTGTTGTTTATAATAAAGTCTAAGCATTGATTATGACCACAGGTCATATACAAAGTAATACCCTTATTTTTTATGATATATATTTCAATTTACAATCAGAATTTTAAACACCTGTGTCATGACGTACATAACAAATGCAGGACCTGAAAATTAATTGTTACAGCAGCATCAATTATTCAAACGATACAAGGCCTTTCAATTTGCATGCAAACATTCATTAAATGCAAATGATGCTTTGATCATTCTAATTTTGCTAAAATTAAGCTATGCATAGCTGAAGTCATATTTTCAGCACAATGCATTTTTCTTGTCCAGGTTGTTTAAAATGAGTGCGAGTGAAAACATTTATAATAATTGCACAATTGCACAATTATGTTTCCTCACTTGACAATTTGATAAAGCTTATTCGTCCAAGATTTGTCGCATGCATGCTTACTTGTTTACATTTACAATACAGGGGATGCTGTCGGAAGAGCATTGCATGTGCATGGTTCATGGAAACGAATACCACACGAATGCACATGTATTATTGTCCAATATATAATACAAGATTATCAATCACAGAAACTTTTTGATACATTGCGGACATGGTAGAGCATGCAAATACAGTTTATAATTTCATTATACATGTACTAGTATTCAGAATTTATATATGAATATGAAGTGATGTACATATACTTATTTATAACAGCCATAAAGATGTCAGAGCCAGAGAAGAAGGAAGTTTCTGACAAGGAAAAGGAAACAGCGAAACAGGATGAAAAGGAAAAAGTAAGTGTGAACCAAATATGATATATATTTTTTTGTTCCCATTTAAAAGATTTTTGCGTTGCAGTATTATTTGGAATTCTGAGTATTTGGCAGTATGATAAGAAGATGTGTATTCTTTTGGATTCAGTAACTATATAGTGAAGATTTGTATAGTGGTATTCTTCAAGCATATAGGTATCCAGTTCTAGTTCATTGCCATTTTGATATACAAAGTAATGTATTAGCACAGTTGACATCTTTACAGGGCTAAGTACATTCTGACACGTATACTACACATTTGGATGAACATACATTGATGCGTTAATTGTATTTATTCAGTTATACAGTACATTTCACTTAATATCACGTCACTTTTCGGTTATTATCATGTTTTTTTGATGCACCGTTTTTCCTGCTATATAATCTATGCAATTCAATTCTTTTATTATCACCTGATTTTATGTCGATTTCTCTTAATATCACTTTATTTTGGCCACTTTCACCAAAAAATACAGGTAAACGGTGGTATTGATTCATGATAAATGCCCTGGGGACCTTCTGTCACACCCTGGATGCATTATGTAAATAATGCCTTGGCCTAACAGGGTATTTTTTACACCTGGCTGACTGTTAAACAATAGGTTGACTTACATACTTGTTAACATGATATTCACCTGGGGTTGGGGGAGCTAGGACAGTCTAACATCTGTAAACTTTTCTAATGCCAAGTGTGATGTATTCTTTCAACTAATTATAACATGTGTACTATCTTCGATTACACACTTGCAGCAAATATCTAATAAAATTAACCTATAAAAAGATGTTACTAGCGAAAGAACATTATATATATCAAGATATAGGAAAATATTTACCAATTCTCATGTTTACAATTGGATTTCCCCCAGAATACCATCCAAACACTTGTATGCCTACATCACTACTGCAGTAAACAATTATAATTACAATCGTACTGATCGTCATTTTGCTACTAACTTTATGAAATGTAACTGCATACTGAAATGAAATACAAATAATATATTTATTTCTATACTTATTTACTTATATCTATATTTCAACTAGGGTAAAGAACAGGGTTAGTTACAAAATATCAATCTTCTTCGTAGAGCCACATCACTTAGGCACTTGACTAAGTTCACTTCCAGTTTTGAGGGCTGAAAAACATCAGAAAATATGTATTCTGTTTATGTCATGTTTCTGTTAATATCATGTTTTTCTCTGACAAATGGGAAGTGATATTAAGAGAAATCTACTGTATATACAATTTTATTGTAATTTTGATGAATTGCTTCATTTTCTGACATCTCATTGACTTGTTAATGTATTGGAGCTATTCAATTACATTTTAAATCAAAAACCTTACATTGTTTCAGTGGTATAATAATGGTTAATGTTTTGCCTATGCTATTGCAGGACACTGCTCAAGGTGGAAAGAAGACTCCACTCGGTGATAAGGCTAAGCCAGGGAGTGGAAAGGCTAAGCCAGGGAGTGGAAAAAGATCAGGAACACCCAGCAAGGGTAATAAAGGTGCTGCTGATAAAGGGCGAGCAACCCCTAAAGGTAAGACAGAGATGACTAGGTATACTTTATTAGCTCACCTGGTCCGAAGGACCAAAGTTAGCTTATGCCGTACCATGGCGTACGTCGTCCTTCCGTTGTCCGTCCGTCCGTTGTCTGTACGTCAACAATTTCTTCAAACGACTTATTCTTCTTAACCACTGATTCAAATTTGATTAAATTTGACTGGAAGCATCCCTTGGTAGTGAGGATTCAAAATTGTACAAATGGTGGGTCTGACCTCCGAGGGGGCTGAGGGGGCAATTTGGCTATACTGCTTTAAGCGACTTCTTCTCTGGAACTAAGAGATTGACATAAAAAAATGCTGTCGTGATATTAGAGTTGACCCCTGGATCTGCCCCACCCTTGCAAACTTAACCCCTGGGTCATTTCTTTGAAACAGTCGAGATCCCCACCCCAAAACTATATATCCAAATGCTTGGCATAAAGAGACAAATGCTGTCATGATATAAGAATTGACCAAGGGATCTGCCCCACCCTTGCAAACTTAACACCTGGGTCATAACTTTAAAACGTTGATATCCCCACCCCAAAACTATATATACAATTGTTGGGCATAAAGAGACAAATGCTGTCATGATATTAGAATTGACCCTGGGGTCTGGCCACAACCCTAGGGACGTAATTTCTTAGTCACAGCTTGGAAACAGTTGAGATCCCCACCCCATAACCATACAAAAACTTGCTGGGCATGAACAATCTAATACAGATATGCTACAAGGTTTGGCCTTAGGGTCTGGCCCATTCCCTTGGATCTTATAAGGAGAATATTTTGTCATGTTTGCTCAGATCCAGGTGAGCAATACAGGCCCTCTGGGCCTCTTGTTACATATATACCCGGTAAGATAATGAGTTACCAGGTTAAGTATTTAGAGTAATTACTGTGTTGACTGTATAAATGGATAGTTGTATTATTTTTAAGCTATCACAGTAAAGATCTTCACACCATGTGGAAATTTGGGCATAATAAAATATTGCAAAAGTTTGGACGATTTTTATTTACTCTTTTGTTTATTTGTGTTTGATTTTTCTTTTACACAATTTAAGAAAGTTAAAACAGATTTAAGGTACAAATCTATATTAAGTATTTTTTTCTAGGGAATGCTAAGGCAAAGACCAAAGAGGATGTAAAAGCACCTACACCTGTCCCAGCAGGGGAGACAGAGGAAGAAGACGAAGGTAGTTCTTTAAATCATAAAAGTTACATTACAAATTTGATATATAAGAACAGTTTCTAGATCTGTTTCAGAATGAATGTAAGAAATATATATATATATGAAAAAAAATGATTCTAATAATCACCCAAACTAATAACTTTACATCATTTTAGAGGCAAAGTACCAACAAAATGATAGTTTCATTTCATTCCGAAATTTTAAAATGTCCATTATAATTGTCCAACTCAAGTTTTAGTTCATTGTTTAGAACAAAATGCCCATGTATTTGCTATGAGATAATGAGGGTTCTTTCTTTCTCTCATTGTCAACTTATTTACACAAAGCTAAAAGAAGTTCAAAAAGAGGTTTTGAGTTTTGATGGATTTGGGGGTAAAAAAAACTTATGAATAATCCTTAGGCTTTGACTGGAATCATTCTCAGATGGTTGGCATAAGAAAATATATTATTTCTTTCAATAAGTCTGCTTTAAAAAAACAAGTTTTGGGTAAATCAACATTTATAGTCCCACACCAGTGTTTTAGTTGTAGTTTTTGGTAAGTTTCCGTACGTACTGTATAGCAGTTATATTTCGTGGGGGGGGGGGGGGGGGGGGGGGGGGGGGCGTAAGTTAGCTTTATTCGCACTTTAACTAATATCCACACAATCTTAACACCAGCGTAATTATCGAAAAAGTTAACCGCTTTTACCAACCTTATCACAACATTATGAAAAGACTTATAACCCAATGCTGTTATGCAAGCTGAAATGAACTCAAATCAGATTATCACCGAGCAACTGGGCAGTCCATGTAAAAACAACACTTGCATATAAGTGGCCACAACATATTTATGTGTACACAGTAGGTGATGAATTGATTACATTTTTCTCCTACAATGGTATTTACACATTTTCAATTTTCTTTCAAGTGAAGTCACTGGCAGATGATGATGCTTTTCAAACTGTATATCGAGGTTTAACCCTTAAATGATGACACTCAAAATACTTTGCACGACACTTGGGATTCGGGTGCACAGCGAAATTAAACCCCGGGAATTTAAAGTGCTATACAGTTCTAAGCATATGATGTTATCTCAAAATGGTTGTCACAATTGTATATTTAAATTTCGCATTGATATTTTTTTTAATTTTGTTTGGTAACATAGGTCTGCCAGAAGGATGCACTCCACTGTTTATGTCTACAAAATCACAGGAAATATACAGCTGTGTGTGTGACACCGATGTCACCGAGGATAACCCGATCAAAGTCATCATGAAGTCTGATATCATGGAAGATTTCCGTATGAGGGCAGCTGTCTGTGATTTTCATCCTGTCAAACAGGACGTACAGGTTAGATAACTTACTCTTTATAGAAATTGCTTCAAAAAAGATCATATTTACAAAACTATATATATATATGTTCATATTTAATACTAAAGGAAATTTGATTCTTTTCATACACTTGTTTCAAAAAACTTAAAGCACAAAATTAATTTGTTTTGCTTTTATTTTAAATGTCTATGAATACCTTATTGGAGAAAAAAATGGACAACATGTAATATGTATTATAAACTAATTTAAATAAACACAGTTCAAAATATGGACAGTACTAGATGGCAATATTTACAGTATGAAAATATGGGTTCACTAAAATCAGATGAAAGTTATGACAGTATTTTATGTTTTTGATGACATCTTTCATTACAGGACTTTCCATCAGACGAGATTGTCATTGTTTATGATCCTGACTTCAAATTTGGACAAAACTTTTACATTGCCCTCACAGAGGAAGCCAAGGATAAAATACTAAATGTAAGTCAGTATAGACAGTACATACAGATATTGTAGACAAAATACTAAAAATAAGTCAGTATTAACAGTACAGACATTTTGTTTCACAATTATTCAGTCTCTTCATAATTACATGTGTAGTATTAGGACTTACAAGTCGCCTAAAAACACCCAGTTAAAATCTTGATAAAGGTAACTTTTGAACAAGCCTCAAACGAAGAAAATGAATAATAACTTGCTGATATTTATCCAGCCCCTTGGTCCTGAAGGAGAGGGAGGTGAAGGGGGAGCAGCAGCTCAGGAGGAGGAAGTGGTATACAAATACACCCCACCTGAGTCCAAGGAATGGGTGTCACAGGGCAGCGAAAAAGAAATCAAGGAGGAAAATGTTGTAGAAAACCGACGACGGGTAAGCTAAAGATCATTATAGAAAAACGACGATGGGTAAGCTAAAGATCATTATAGAAAACAACGACTGGTAAGTAAGCTAAAGATCATTATAGAAAACCGACGACGGGTAAGCTAAAGATTATTATAGAAAACCGACGACAGGTAAGATAAAGATCATTATAGAAAACCGACGACGGGTAAGCTAAAGATCATTATAGAAAACACACGAAAAGTAAGCTTAAGATCATTATAGAAATCACACGAAAAGTAAGCTTAAGATCATTATAGAAAACACAAAAAAGTAAGCTTAAGATTATTATAGAAAACCTACAATGAGTAAGCTTAAGATCATTATAGAAAACCTACAATGAGTAAGCTTAAGATCATTATAGAAAACCTACAATGAGTAAGGTTAAGATCATTATAGAAAACCTACAATGAGTAAGCTTAAGATCATTATAGAAAACCTACAATGAGTAAGCTTAAGATCATTATAGAAAACCGAAGAGGGGTAAGCTTAAGATCATTATGGAAAACCGACGACGGTAAGCTAAAGATCATTATAGAAAACCGACAATGGGTAAGCTAAAGATCATTATAGAAAACCGACGACGGGTAAGCTAAAGATCATTATAGAAAACCAACGACAGGTAAGCTAAAGATCATTATAGAAAACCGATGAGGGGTAAGCTTAAGATCATTATAGAAAACACACGAAAGTAAGCTTAAGATCATTATAGAAAACCGATGAGGGGTAAGCTTAAAATCATTATAGAAAACCGATGAGGGGTAAGCTTAACATCATTATAGAAAACCATTGACGGGTAAGCTAAAGATCATTATAGAAAACCGACGACAGGTAAGCTAAAGATCATTATAGAAAACCGATAAGGGGTAAGCTTAAGATCATTATGGAAAACCGATGAGGGGTAAGCTTAAGATCATTGTAGAAAACACACGAAAGTAAGCTTAAGAGAACTTTTTTATGTGAAATTATATAGATCTTTACGCAGACCTAATTTGCTATCTAATAAGCAGAAATCATTACAGCATTAAGACGGCAATTCTGTAATATATTGAATATATAAAACTTTATCATAAAACATTTAGAAGTAGCACTTCATTGTCACTGTTACACAATATTGAAGGCATTTTGATATAAAGTATTGATGTTTACAGTATATATTTTATGCTGCAATCACATGTGATAAATATATTAACTGTTTTTCTTACAGATAAAAATTTCCGCTCGACGCATTAGGAAGGAATTTGGTGCTCCTTGTAACTTCAAAGACAGAAATGTGGCCGACGCCAAAGATGCCTACATTGAATGTACAGCGTACGATGACCGTACATATGATCTGAAGAGAGTAGAATTGGACAAAGGTGTTCAGGTATGATATAGTATACTTCTGTTATATTGGTTTTACACTAAGACTTTCTCACATAAGTACCCAGGTCATTAATATACTTTCAAACTTTGTTAAAAATTGATTGCAATATTTTTCATTACATGTATAAAGAAATTTTGAGGGAAATGTTTTTGAACAGATTCTTTTCTAGGTCTGCTTCACTTATATTTAAACAAAAATGCTTCTTTACAACTGGTAGAGCTGTTCTAGCTATCCTGGTATATAAATGTTTTAGAAAACATTTTCATCATTACATTGTCTTACATTTAAGGCAGTACCAGAGCTTATAGAACAAGGGACAAATACTGACTGGCGTTATCCAAGGAATGCAAATACACAGTACTATCCCCGTGAATATTCCGAGACGGAAAAAGAAACTGTTGAAAAATCTACTGATTTACAGACTTTTGCCAAAGATATGGTTCCAAGGTATAATTTAATGATTTGGTTTATAAATGCCAAAGATGTGTTTATTTCAGAAAAGTAATCAAATACTGTATTTTTCTCAAGTTTTTTTATATCAACATGTAGATCAAATTTTCTTAACAAACTGGGAATTACAAAGGAAGATTACATTTGGGATTTGTTTTTTTAATTTTGAAGCAACCTTGTTGCCTCTTCATTCACTTTTTACATTATTTAGCAAAATGTCATTGTTATCATTCCTGTCCTATTTCTGTCTGCTTTTCAAAATTCAGTATTAGTCAAAAGATTTAGAAGTCATTGAATTTGATTTTAAATATTTTGTTTTTGTTTCTTTGCTCAGGTTTGAACTTGCCCTTCAGCAGAATGAAATTATGGATGTTTTCTACATTGACTGGCTACATTTAGGGGATGCTGATGGATCCTTTGGGAACAAAGCTGACAATCACCTTAAGGTATCCACAAGAGAAAATAGAAACTTAATGTTTTTAATCACGTGTCCTAGATCATAGGATATTTTGTTCCCTGTGAATTGACATACTGTAATGTACAAAGTGTTAGTTTCATCAGGAAAGCTTTTAAGAAGCTTTAATGTGAAAGAGAGATTTAAGAACGTTTTGTTCATTTTTTGAGTTATGTTTTCTTATAAAAATAAAACCAAAAATTATTGCATACCAGACTTCTCATTCTTATGTCAACTTCTTATTCTAAGGTCAACATCTCATTATAAGGTCAACTTCACTTTCTCAGGTCAACTTCTCATTCGAAGGTCAACTTCTCATTCTAAGGTCAACAACTCATTCTAAGGTCAACAACTCATTCTAAGGTCAACAACTCATTCTAACGTCAACAACTCATTCTAAGGTTGACTCAATACGGTAGTTATCACTCCTCTGATAAGAAATCCCATCATCTGAATTATGAATGTTTTGACTAATTATTGTGTTGATATTTCAGGAGTACCAGTCATTCACAGATCTACAGTTCAGTAAGGACAGGACCATCACAGCCATACAGTGGCATCCCACCATCAAAGGTATTCCATGTCTACTATACAGACAATTTTTCCAAAATCTGTTTTGCCTTAAATATAATTATGTAGTCATAAAAAAAAATCAAACTTTTGCAGCATTATAAGATTAAGGCTACATTCCCGTATCCCGGTTGAAACGGTACGTGCGGCGCAGAAATTTTCCACAATGAACGAACACACTTGGACTGTTCTATAAGCAGAGCTAAAAATGCACAGTTTCGGAGAATAAAAAACAATGTATCAAGAATAGTATGCCCTTTTTTATCCGTCCACTAAATACATAACGTATCTTAAAAACTACATGTGACTTGACATTGTTTAATAAAGAAATAACGTAAATTGGCAATAGTCAGCATTTTAGTTTTGGTCAGGTACGTCTGGACCCCTCAATCTACACCTACTAAATTTTCCTTAGGTCAGCCTCGGTCCAGATCTGTACCTGTCGTTTTCTTTACAGTTTCAACCGGTTCAACCGTTTCAGCCAGATACGCAAATGTACCCCAATAGTTTGATTGCCTATTATAAAAACAGACTTTCGTCAATGAAATTCACTCTGCCTATTATATATGATCAGATAAATATTCTTCAGTGAAATTCACTCGGCCTATTATACATGATCAGATAAATATTCTTCAGTGAAATTCACTCTAGTTTCCAAGTAATGCCTTCTGTAAGTAGTAGTCATTTCCACACTGCATTTCAACTTGTTGTGGAAATGAAAATTTCAATTACAGTTCAAAAATTATAGAAAAATCTTACTCATTCTTTTCGTTTTGTTTAAAACAGCTCACTTACTATGTAGCTGTACTACTGAAGTAAATACTACTCTATAGATTTTGTGTAGATTGTTATGTAGCTGTCCTACTGAAGTAAATAATACTCTATAGATAATGTGTAGATTATTATGTAGCTGTCCTACTGAAGTAAATTATACTCTATAGATAACGTGTAGATTATTATGTAGCTGTCCTACTGAGGTAAATAATACTAATTAGATAATGTGTAGATTATTATGTAGCTGTCCTACTGAAGTAAATAATACTAATTAGATAATGTGTAGATTATTATGTAGCTGTCCTGTTGAAGTAAATTATACTGTGGGTCATGTAAAGCTTAAATATATTTTTGTTAATTCATTACGAAAGACAAATGTAAATTTATAAACCTCACAAATATTCCTAGCACAAGTAAACAATACACATAATTATAGCAGTGGTGTTTTTTCTTTCGTGAACTGAAATCCTCACAGGTGTATAACTGTAAGTTTAATTTGGAAAATTTCAGTAAATAAACTGTAACTTTACTACACCTGTGATTACAAACCTGAACCTTTGTCTTTCCAGGTGTTGTTGCAGTGGCTGTTGCAGAAAAGTTGAGTTTTGATGAGAGAATTGACCATTGTGCTAAAGTCATCATGACACCATCTCTCATTCTGATCTGGAGTTTTACCGACCCCATACACCCACAGGTAACAAGTACATCAGTGGTACAATATATAATATCTAATGCCAAGTTTTACTGACCCCATACACCATTGGTAACAAGTACATCAGTGGTACAATATATAATATCTAATGCCAAGTTTTACCGACCCCATACACCCACAGGTAACAAGTACATCAGTGGTACGATATATAATATCTAATGCCAAGTTTTACCGACACCATACACCATAGGTAACAAGTACATCAGTGGTACAATATATAATATCTGATGCCAAGTTTTACAGACCCCATACACCCACAGGTAATAAGTACATCAGTGGTACAATATATAATATATAATGCCAAGTTTTACAGACCCCATACACCCACAGGTAACAAGTACATCAGTGGTACAATATATAATATATAATACCAAGTTTTACAGACCCCATACACCCACAGGTAATAAGAACATCAGTGGTACAATATATAATATATAAAGCCAAGTTTTACAGACCCCATACACCCACAGGAAATAAGTACATCAGTGGTACAATATATAATATCTGATGCCAAGTTTTACCGACCCCATACACCTACAGGTAACAAGCATGGCAGTGGTACAATATATAATATGTGATGCCAAGTTTTACCGACCCCATACACCATAGGTAACAAGCACGGCAGTGGTACAATATATTATATCTAATGCCAAGTTTTACCGACCCCATACACCATAGGTAACAAGTACATCAGTGGTACAATATATAATATCTAATGCCAAGTTTTACAGACCCCATACACCCACAGGTAACAAGTACATCAGTGGTACAATATATAATATCTAATGCCAAGTTTTACCGACCCCATACACCATAGGTAACAAGTACATCAGTGGTACAATATATAATATCTGATGCCAAGTTTTACAGACCTCATACACCATAGGTAACAAGTACATCAGTGGTACAATATATAATATCTAATGCCAAGTTTTACCAACCCCATACACCATAGGTAACAAGTACATCAGTGGTACAATATATAATATCTAATGCCAAGTTTTACCGACCTCATACACCATAGGTAACAAGTACATCAGTGATACAATATATACATTTCTTTAAAATGTGTTACTGTATAAACCTATAAGAAAGATTTAGCACAGTGCATGTATTACAAAATCAATAAAGGGCAAATGTATCAGGAAACAGAAATCTGTTAGCATTACCAGGTTACCCTCGAATATATATTATATTACTTAATTGCAGCTCTTGTGGTGTTATACATATTGTGTTTACCTTATGCTATTGTCAATTTAATGCCGATAAAGTTAATCCATCAAAAAAATGTCAAAAAAATCATTGTTGTATTAGGAAATTTCAACATCTATTATACCAGATATGAATTAAATGAAAACTCCTTTTATTTTTTCAGTGCAAACACACAGAAACTCGTAAACATATTTTTTCAGTGCAAACACACAGAAACTCGTAAACATATTTTTTCAGTGCAAACACACAGAAACTCGTAAACATATTTTTTTTTTAAATTCCAGCTTTTACTAGAAGCACCAGATGATATATACAGTTTCCAGTTCAGTCCGTCCGACCCAAACATTATCTGTGGTGGTTGTTATAATGGTCAAGTGGTGCTGTGGGACATCTCGGCTCATGCAGATAGGCTGAAACAGCAGAGGGGCAACAACAGGAACAAGAAGTCAAATGTCCTGGTTAGTATATAAAAAGTGTTCTCATAGAGAAATGTTTTATGCTCCAACTTGGTGACAAACACTTATATCTATGTTGTATGGTCCAGTTTTTATTTCAAACATGTTGTGCTGAAAAAAGTCATAAACCAGGAACTGAAGGTTTATGAAAGAAAGTTGATTTGAATGTTAACATCTGATCTTATTATTAAAATCAGTATTATAAAATGAAATCATTGAGTAATGAAATATGAAGTGAACATGTTTAAATTTTCTTATTGGTCTATCTCTTTCTGTGTTAGACGTTAATATGAAATTTTGTGATCGTTGTCTTTTTTTTTAAATTCAATTGTCAGTTGGTTTACTGCTTAATATCCATTTTCTGTTAAATTTATCGTGAGGAATTCCACTTAACATTTATGATTAAAACTGTATGAACTATTTAATGCAGTGTCTTAGTATCCTGACATGATTGTTTAAACATGAAATATTTAATTTGAGATACCACCGCTTCGGGAGAAGCGATTAACGTTTCGGAATGAGGCACTTCTACAGGTAAACTTTATGTATCAGGGAAAAGGTTTAAACACTTTTAATTTAGCATGAGTCAATATCTAAGTCAGAGATGCAACCTTTACACCATTTATCAATCTTTTAGGGGAGAACTTTGTCAGGAAGGCATGACACTTTTAATATGATTTTCATCACAAAAGTTTGTTCACAATTCTGCTTCAACTATTCAAAAGAATTTCATTTCAGCTGGAGGGAGATTTGATTTTCCAGATTTTCCAGATTGTATAAAGCTTCATTCAATTGAATACAAATGAAAAAATTAGGTTACTTAGTATCTAAAATACTAATGATGTAATTTCTATGTCAATACAGGTATTAACATCTCCATTTCATTTCTTTATTATTTTTAAGCAAAAAAATGAAATGAGATGTTAATACCTGTAATGACATAGTAGTTACATCAAAAACTGAGAAAAACCTATATCAACAGTGTCAGGTTTTTATACGCCCGTCAAAGACGGGGACGTATTATGTTATCACGTGAGCGGGCGGGCGGGC